CTCTGGGAAGTTGCCTGTGGTGGAGGCTGCGTTCTAGTTATGCTCAGACCACACCGTTGTCCAGGAGGTGGGATAAATGAAAAATGCTGGTCTTCACCACAGAAGGGGTGAGGGGCACTGCTCTGCAACCCAGCACTACGTGCCAGGGGGCCTGCCCTGTCCACTGTGGCCGGCCAGGATGACACAGGTGGCCCGCTGCCTCTGTGGGTTCAGCATCGGCGATTCAACCAACCTCTGATCAAAAGTATTTTTAAAAATGTTACTGACATGTACTATGTAGTTAGGCCTCTGGTGGTAATGTCTGTATTGAACATGCACAGACTTTTTTCTCTCATCATTATCCCCTAAACAATACTGTATTAATAACTATTTACATAACACTTACATTGCATTAGGTTCTATAAGTAATCTAGAGGTGATTTTGAATATACAGGAGGATGCATATAGTTTATATGCAAATACTACTCCATTTTATATAAGGGTTCAGCATCCCAGAGTTTGGTATCCACAGGGTCCTGGAACCAGTTCCCCAGTGGATACCAAAATATGACTATTCTTGGCTAACCAAAGTGATACCTTGCTTTCACTGGTGCGTGAGGCTTACGGGCAGGGTCTGTGCATATTGCCCACGGCACTTGGTTTATGTTTTGTACACAGGACATATTCAATACGAGTCCCTTGCACTAGTGAATGAATGAAAAAATTGACAGGTGAATGAACCATGTTTCTGGTTGTAACAGAGCAATGTGGTGGCTTTGGGCAGAGCCATAAATTTGGAAAAAATTCTCTTCCACCTTTTCCTGCTGCCCGCCCTTCTGATTTCCCACCCTCCCCCTTTTTGTCTCTGCCTAAGCTGTTAAATTCCTTCAAGGTGCTTTTCTGGCTGCTCAGGACCCTGCACACCCTCCTTTTCCTGTGAGTAGTGTCCTACCTTGGGCCTTGTACTGGCCTCTTCCCCAGCAACTTCTGGGTCTCTTTCAGTGGGACCTCGTCCAGCTGGCTGACTCCTGGGAGTCCCTAGGGGTTCCCCCAACAGAAATTACACAGAGTCCATGCAATTGGGATAGTCTGTACTGATTCTGATAAAATCAACACGGATTTCTAGAAGTACTATACTTAATGTTGGTATAAACACCTGAGACCGGTCTTATCATACACATCTGATAAGACATTTCTAGGAAACATGAAGACGTCATGTGAAACATTTCTGGGAAGCAGTGTGGTGAAATGTATCAAGAATTTTTAAAGATTTTGCCCTTTAACATAAAATTATGCTCTAGATATTTATATGAAATAATCAAGGATGTGACAAAATGTTTACATACAGAGTATACAACAGTATACTGTAAAACAGGAAATTCGACCTAAATGGAATTAAGTACATTATGATACAGGCATGATAAAATGTTATACAGCCATTAAAGTTATATTGTTGAGTTGTTTTTGATGATTTGATAAGATGCTTATTAGCTATTATAAATGAAAAAGGCAGGGCACACTTTTTAAAAAAAGTTTTATTAAAATATATATGCATGTAAAAATACTCACCATCTGTCTAGGTCAACCATTTTCAACCGGCGTGCCACGGCACACTGGTGCGCCACAAGAATTTTTAAAACATGCGCTACCTGACTATTTAGTCAGGGGCATTGACCTCTTTTCCCGTAGATTGTCAAATTAAAAAAAAAAAAAAATGATGACAATGCAAGAAAAGCCATCCAGTGTGAATGAATCAAAATTATAGCTTTTTTTTGGTCAGATCAGCAAAAATCACAACATATTTTTTGGTGTGCCACAGAATTTTATTTAATGTGGTTTATGTGTGCCATGAAATGAAAAAGATTGAAAATCACTGGTCTAGGTGATGGGTTATGAATTATTTTGTCCATTTTGGCATTTTCTCAGTTTTCTATAGCGAGCACAAATTATTTTTATGGTTGGAAAAACAGAAAACATTGTTTAAAGGCCTTTCTGACCTTGCAGACAGCTCCTCCTGGCCTGCGCGGTCACTTGCTCGCTGGGTTGCAGGCCGCTGCTGGGGGCATGCCCCGGCGTTGCCTGGAGCAAGCCTTCGAGCACTCGCACTTTTAGCCTATATGCAAGTCCTGCCTTTGCCATTAACTGGCTGTGGGGCTGTAGGCAAGTCACTTTATTTTTCTAGGTTTTGGGGGTGCTCATTTATAAAATGAAGTGCCTGGAATTGATGATTCAAGGCTTATATTCTGATTCTGTGATTCTGATAAACTCACTGAGTCAAGGTATACACTGTGAATAAGGATCCATGATTTACCCTTCTCCAGTATAAATATCTTAAACTGGGGATTCTTGCCTATGGCTAAAGGAGTGGCTCTCTAATGGTAGAATTTAACATCAGACTGAATCACCTACACCCAAATACTGGCTTTATGGCTCCCTACAGCTCACGCATTCTAGCCATTATCTGGCCCTTCTGAGACAGTCAGGGTCCTTTCCACATCAGTCCCCAGCCCTAGAGGCTCAGGAGAGCTGTCTGCCTGGAAGAGCAGGTCAAGTTCCTGGGCTGAGAGCTTCCTTCCCTTCCCTGCTCCCTTTCCCCAGTCTCAGCTGCTCACTCCTTCCTGTCTGCTTCCTCTATCTCCATTCTCTTGCCTGTGGTTGAGTCGGGCTTATGTCAGTGTGGTTCCCTGGTTGACTGATGGCTCAGCTGCCACAGCCAGGGGAGGTAGGGGTATGACTCATGCCCTGTGTCCAGTGAGTCAGACTTTGGGTGGGCTAAGCCAGGGGCTATCCTAGGATGGGAAGCAGGTTCTAAGTATACAGAGGCCTTAGCTCATTCCTGGTAGGGGCACTGCCAGGAGAGAGAACCAATCTGTCTCCCTTTCCCATTTCTGTAAACTCATTCATGAACCCTCCTTGCCCAAGAAAATGCCACCTCTACTGAGCCTTAGAAAGTTGTGTCTGAGCAAGGCCAAAACAGCCTTTGTGCCAACAGCCTGTTCCCTTGGCATCTGGGGAGAAGGAGAATAACAGACCATGGTTAGAGCCAAAGAGGGTAGGAATTTCCCATTCTGCCTTCTCGTGTCCTGGGTTTCAGCCCAGCAAGATTTCAGAGCTCAGCTTATCCTTTCCTCCCCTTCCCTGCTCACGAACTGAGGAGCAAGTGCATTCACACTGCCCTGGAGCTAAAAATTGGGGACCGGGGGCAACATTTCTTCAAGTTTTTAGTTTTCCTTGGCTAGAAAGAATGGGATAATAAATTCACCTCACGGGGTGGCTGTGGATTCAATAAAACCTAGCATCCACTACAGACAGGCCTGGCTTCACGAGGTGCTGAGCCGATGATAGTCCTTCTGAAAGGAAGTGGGAGCATTATTGCTTTTGGACTTGCGGGGAGAGCTGAAAGTCACCTGTGCAGGAGGCTGAAGTGAGCCTTTTCCAGGGCAGCCCCACCCCACCCCCACCCTGGTGCTTTAGTTTGTCAGCTCAGGCTGGCTTTCAAAGGCACAGCTGGCCTTCCACAGCCCGGGGCACCTTATTCCAATCTAGAGCCTTCTCTTCCCTTTTAGGCATTTGGGGACTTTCCCCTTCCTGGTGAATCATCCTAATAGCGAGCTTCAGGAGGCAGCACAAGTAAAGAATAAAGCGACTGTGTCTTAGACTGAATCCGTACTCCTGAGGCGTCCTTTCGTTTCACCCTCCAATAGGGGCTGCTGTTGATTTAGTTGTCTTTTAAAATTGTGATATTTTGTTCAACACGGATTTTTGTCACTCATTGTAATTTTTTAAATATTGATTAAAATGTTTGTTATTTACCTAGAGTACTAAGTTCCTCAGCCTCCCTTCACTTTTGCCCCTAAGGATGAAACCTGCCGCTGCAGCCCTTTTTAGGAAGGGGTGTATTTGGAGGGCAGAAGAGCCCTACAGACTGCGCCTGCTTCCTTAAACCTGTGGCCGTGCTAACGCGGGCTTTTCTCTGCCCCCACTAGAGGCCAGGGGAAAGTTCTGAGCCTGTTTCCACCCTATCCACTCTTGCACCCCCAATTCCATGGAACTCAGGGATGACTAAAGTCAGCTATTTTCAACGGATGTGCCCCAAAACTTTTAAAACATGCAACACCTGACTTACGTAATCAAGGGCACCAACCCCTTTTTCCTTAGATTGTCAAATTAAAAAAATGAGAACAGCTAACGCAATAGCTGTCCCGGTGAATGCCCTGTTTTGAACCATAAATATATAGGTCATATCCTAGAGTTGCACCTTATTGGTCACATGGCCCAGTAAGATTGCGTCTCCTTGGTTAATTCTTGCTATCAGAAATCCCTATGTACAAGTATAGGCACCTGATTTTTTAAAATGTCACTTTGGAGCAAAACGTGTAGGTAATTACTATTATTCATTTAAATCAATGAAAATTATGCCTACTTTTTTTTTTTTTGGTCAGATTGGCATATTTTTTGGTGTGTCACAGAATTTTAGTAATTAGTTTCTATGTGCCATGAGATGAAAAAGGTTGAAAAATTGCTGCTCAAAATCCCTGAAATCCTTTCTGTTCTATTTCATGCTGTAACTATTACTCAAGGGCAATATACCAAGTGCCAGGCAGACACCTGGTTAAGGCTGTGGGAGAAGGGAGAGGTGGGCAAAGACCGGTATAGTTAAGAGGCACAGCGCTCGCTGGGGGCACCTGAATGGGACGCCCTGCCCAGTTGGAGAGAGCAGGGGCCGGGAAGGCTCCAGGAGATGACTGTAGTCACCAGACTCTGTACCCTGAGGATTGACCAGGACGCCTTGGGGGCGGGGGTGGGGTGGGGTTGGGGGGATCGTCAGAAATCCCAGCCTCATTTTACTTCCTCCCTGGGCCCCCGCCCGGCAGCCCGGGCTCTGGACTCGGGCCAGGGAGGCGGCACCCGCGCTGGGTCTGAAGCGCTTCCTGCGCAGCGGCCCGGCCAGTCCTCCCAAGGAGAGGAGTGCATGCCCGAGGAGCGTGTGGCGCGGCGGCAGCGCACCTGGCCGACGCGCGGGTGGCGACATGGAGGACGGCGTGCTCAAGGAAGGCTTCCTCGTCAAGAGGGTGAGAGCACCGGAGCCTGTCCGGACTTTGACCAGGGCGGCACGTGGCGCGCGGGCACCGGCTCACCTGAGCAGGGTCTGCAGCCCGAGCCACAAGGCGTACCGGCTGCCCGGCTGCCCGGGGCTCTGCTGGGGAGGGTTATGGCCGTGGGGAGAGCTGGTGGACGGCGGTTGGAGGTGGGCTTTCTATAGAAAAAGGGCCGGGGCACCAGGAACGATCCCGATCAGTTAGTGCAGATGGCGTGCGGGTGGTGGCTGCAAAGTGGATATCTTCAGTACAACAACTTACTAAAATGTGAAGAGTATATAGTACTTAAATACGATGGATTAAAACAACATAAGCGTGCCCTATAGTTCACCACGCCGGCCCATGGAATGCATGCCTGTATGCTTCACAATAACCCATGAGCAAGGAGGAAGCCTGTGCTTCTTAAGCTCTTACTGTGCACCAGTCCTGGACGTTTTCTCCTTTAACCCCTCCCAGCAACCCTACAGGTGGTAGTACCACATGGCCTCCCTGTTCTCAAAAACAGAGCTCAAAAAGGCAAGGTAACTTGCTCAGGATCTGGCTGTTAGCTGGTGAACGAGCAGGATCAAACCAACCCAGGTTGACCCCAAACCTTTCCATGTCCACCATGGGGTGGGCATTGTTATTGCCCTATTGCAGATGAGGAAACTGAGGGTCAGGAAGATGAAATCGTTGGCCCTGAACCCCAGGGCTAGTAACAGCTAGGATTGGAACCTCTACCCTCAGTGCTTGCTCATCACCTCGTGTGGGCTTTCCCACAGCAAGCAGGAGGCCAGACCAAAACAGACACAGAGGATCAAGGTAGAAAATGAGCCTAGAGGAGGTGCAAGAAGAAATTTGATGTTACAAAATTCTTTTGGCATTGATGGTCGTGCTCAGCATTTACACTAGCATAGTAGTGGAGCATAAGTCCTGGGGATGAGCCTTTTGGCTATTTTGTTGGGTGTACGGCTTTGGGAGGAGGCTGGATGAAGAGGGATGATGCGGTTCTCCCATTGCCTCCTCGGGCTGCCAGATCAGCCCTGAAGTCTCAGGCGGTCCGTAGGTAACAGAGCCATGTTATATCACATCTTGTTTGATATAGGAGGGTGGGTGTGTTGTTTGCTCAAAACTGTAAGCAGAGGACTGCTGGTAGGTTAATACCAGATCAAGGGTCAGACTGGATACAGGCAGGTACAAAATTCCATACCTGCTTCATGCCACTGTGATTAAAGTCATAGGCTGGTCCCTTCAGTTTGCAGAGGCAGGTGCACCTCAGAGAGGCCACCTGTGGAGGAACTTCTGAAGATTGAGGCAAGGCATTGAGTTGGGCAGGGGCTTTTGGTGGGCATTGCTGATTGTTGGGATAGTTGGGTCCTGGTCGGTGCCTGTGGGGGACAACCCCCTTCAGATGGGCCCTGTGGGCCTCCCCCTGTTCCCAGGGGTTAATTTACATGATTCCCCACCGCTGCCACCATGCAGAGTCAGGGGACAATGAAAGGCAAGGAAGGGTGTGAACTCCCCTCTGGACAGGCTGCCAGTACTGGGTGTTTAGCTTACAGAGTCCAGAGTGCAGGGAAGTGAGGGCAGTCAACAGGTCTGACCCAGAAACCCCCACATAGGGCCTGGCCAAAATAGGTACAGAATGCTCCTTCCAGCCAAACCCAAAGACAGGAGTTTGGAGCCTGACCCTGAGGCAAGCAGAAGCCACACCCTTTCCTGCGAGGTGAGAGAGGAGGCCCCGTGCCCCTGCCTATGACCGATCTCAACTTATTCTCTCCCACATATCCCCTTTTCGGGCAGCCCCCGTGTCCACTGGAGGGCTGCGCCCCGTGAGATTCCATAGATTTAGGAGGGTTTGCAGGTTGGGGGCGGGGGGCGGGGCTCAAGCTGGAAGCCCAGCGTTCAGAAGAGTCATCAGCAGTGAGGGTGAAGCAGGGGCAGGCAGGGGCATGAAGGATTTGGCTCCTAATCCTGCCCAGGCAGGAAAGAATTAGAGCTCCAGACAAAACGCAGGGTGCTCACTAGGCCTGGCTTTAAAGGAGGACGAGCGGGTAGGAAGCCAGGATCGGTGGGGTAGGACTGCTTTTCCTTTCAGAGGAGCCCGACGCGCTTCTGGCGCCGCCACCCTGCACATGCCCTGAATAGCGCTCTTGGAAAACGCCATGGCCGTGGGAACGCGCTTTGGCCGGGACGTTTCATTAGCGGGGTTCTATCTCAAAGGAACCTCATCAAACGTTTATGAACAAAGTATTATTTAGGTAGTGAAAAATTGGAAAACACCTATATATCCCCCTAAAGAGACAAATTATTATGTAAATTATGGTTATGCAGATGTTTAACATGTTCATAATATTATAACTGAAAGAGTAAAAGTATGAGGCAAAAAAATACAGATGAGAGAAAACTATAAGGAGCTCCGGAGGCTAGGAGCCTGAGGTCGAGGTGCTGGCAGAGCCACGCTCTGCCTGAGACCTGGAGGGGGGACTCTTCCTCGGCTCTTTTGCTTCTGGTATTTGGAGGCTGTACAGGAAAAACCCCAACTTTTCCTTCCCATGTAGAGAAAAACCTAGCTCTTTCCTACCGTGTGTGTGTGTGTTTATCCTGCGAGTCTCCTTTACCTTTGCACAAAACACTTCACTTCGCACTCTCCTGGTCACCAAGTGTGTGGAGACTTCTCCCCACACCAAGCAATTCTCTGCTACACCAGCTGGGTGTCCCACAGTGTGACTCAGTTCTGACACTGTCTATCCGGAGACAGTGTCAGATTCCGCAGGCTGAGGGCTCCGTCCCACGCGACTGCCCACCCCGGACGCACGCACACACTGCAGCTACTTGTCACGAGCCTGGGCTGCCCGCTGTGCTTCTGAACAGCTACGGATGGGCGGTTCCAGTGTCCCCCTCCTCGGATATGATTAATTTCCAAGAGTGGCTCGAAGAACGCAAGGAAACACTAATTTATCTTTACCAGTTTGCTAAAGAACGTGATAAAGGACGCAGATAAACCACCAGAGACAGGCGCTCTGTAGGGCGGGGCGTGGGAAGGGGCGCGGAGCTCCCAGGCCTCTCTGAGCACACTGCTCTCCCAGTGTTCACCAACCCAGAAGCCCCCTGAACGCCATACTTTCGGGATTTTATGGGGGCTTCATCGCATAGGCATGATTGATCATCAACCCCATTTTCAGCCCCTCCCCTTTCTCAAGAGGATGGGGGTGTAAGGCTGAAACTTCTAAACTTCTAATCATGGCTTGGGTTTTCCAGTGGTGGGCTTCTATGCAGGAGCCCACCCAGCGGTGCCGCGTTAGAACAAAAGACACTGCTGTCACCTGGGAAAGTCCAAAGTTTTCAGGAGCTCTGTGCCAGAAACAGGGGCAGACCCCAGTATATGTGCTTTCTATTATGTCACGCAGGCAAACTTTGGCATTCCTTGGCTTGCAGATGCATCTCTGCGATCTCTGCCTCCATTGGCACATGACCATGTTCTCCTTGTGTCTCTCAGTGTGCACATTTTCCTCTCTTATAAGGACACTAGTCATATTAGTGTCATGAGGGCCACCCTAATCCAGTATGGCTTTATCTTAATCCGATTACATCTGTGTTTCCAAATAAGATCACATTCAATGGTACCAGGTGTTAAGACTTCTGTACCTTTTGGGGGATATAATTCAACCCATAGTGCCTTTCTGAGACTCAGTTTCTTTATCATTACAGGGAGTGTATAGGCTTATTCAAAGGGTCCCTCCAGCTATGGCATTCTGTGCCTTTTAAGCCCAGGCCAGGGTTGCCATCCCAGCTTCCCATCTTATGGACTCTTCTCCTTCCCCCTGAAGAAGCTTTGGGACCTCTAAGCTCCTGATGGTGAGGCTGGGTTACAGCCCCAGCCAGCCACTTACAGTCAGGGAGCCCAGAGACGGAGGGGGCTGCCCAGGTAGAGGACCCTGTTCAGCTTATACCACTGGATTTTTGGTCTCTGACTCCCTTTGCCTGATGACTTTGGACCAGTCCCTTAGACGCTCTGAGCATGGTGTGGCTTCTCTGTAGAGCACGGGTAATGCTGTTCTCTTCCCATCTTGTGGATTATCCCAGCGCCCTCCCCCTGAGCCGCGGGCTCCAGGGTGGCCTGCTTCGCACAACAAGAAATAACTAACATAAGGTGTGAGGCAGACCCCCCGGAAGAGCTCAGAGGGAGGATGGAGCTCATTCCGAGGCAGTGGAGGAGGGTGGAGTAGGGTTCGGTAGGCTCCCTGAGGAGCAGATCCTGGGGCTGAGTCGTGAAGGTTTTACAGAGTTGGCCACGTTAGGAAGGCACAGAAGGGCGGCTAGAAAACTGCTGCAACTTCTGGAAAACTCCAAGTAGTTCTAGGTGGATGGGGTTCAGAGGCTGTGAGGAAGGGACAGGCGAAGTGATGAGGGCCCAGTGGCTTCAGGTTCTGTGCTGTGGAGTTTGATCTTTATACAGTGGCCAGAGGGGAGTCTTCGAAGACTTTTAGGCAGACAGATGACAAGTGTAATTTCTCCTGTTAAAAAGATCGCTCTGACCTCACTGTGGCAGTGCAGAAACAGGAACTTTCCAGAAATTTCCTAAAATAACCAGTAGAATTCTTCCTAGGGTTCATAAGAAGTAGTGTAAGTAAAAGTGCTTTGCTCATGTCAGAGACCAGGCTGCTCTGGCCTTTGGTGGCTCACACAGCTGGGTCTGACCCTGGGGCTCCCCGGTGGCCCCTCCGACCACCTGTGAGGACTGCAGTCCCTCTACTGCAGCCACACGGAATTGTTACACATTGGAATATTTGTGCATTTTTTTTACTTTATAAGTCATGATCCTGCAAGTGTCTCAGTCCTTAGCACAGATCCCCATAACTGGAATTATTGGGTCAAAGAACCTGAACATTTTTTTTGAGGGTCAGCAGCTGCTTTGAGTTTTCTTCCTACCCAGTAAATCTTTTCTCACGAGCCTTTCTCCTCAGACCTGCCTCATCCGCCAGCAGCCAGGACTCTTAGCTGCTCATGACTCGTGCCACTAGCAAGTTTGAACAGTAGTAGGGGTTTCAGGGAGAATGACAGATAGTAAGGAGCTCAGGGACATTTGGGAAGCCCAGAGAACCTGGCTCGGGTGCTGTCCAGCCAGGGACGCTGCAGCCAGACAAAAGCACCCAACAGCCCGTCTCTAGTGGAAACCACTGCTGACACTGTTTGCCACTTGTACCTGATACCCCTGGGGTTGGTGTCAGAAGAGAAGAACCTGTTTTTCTACAACGCCCTTGCCAAAAATTCCTGTTTCTTATATTTGGTTGCTTCCAAACAGGCCTTGATGCTCCATACAAGGGACTGGTTTCAACTTAGTCACCTTCCTTTTCCCTTTGCACTGGGGGATTCTGGGAAATGTAGCATTTTTGTCCAGGAAAATACAGTATCTCCTTATTGGCTGGTTCTGCTCAACATCTGTTAGTTACACTTTTCTCTGTAACATCTCCAGCCCCGTTTCTCCTTTCCCCATTGATTTAACTTGCTAGGGCTGCTGTAACAAAATGCCACAGACAGGACAGCTTGAACAACAGAGATTTATTTTCTCACAGTTCTGGAGGCTAGCGTCTGAGGTCAGGGTAGCAGCAGGATTGGTTTCTTCTGAGGCCTCTCTTCAGCTTGCACATGGCCACCTTCTTTCAGAGTCTTCACATGGTCTTTCCTCTGTGCACATGTCTGTCTCCCCGGCATCCTTCTGTGTGTCCAAATTTCCAGATTAGATTACGGTTCAACTAATGCCTTACTTTAACCTAATCACCTCTTAAAAGGCCTTATCTTTGAATCGAGTCACGTTCTGAAGTAGTGGGAGTTAGGGTTTCAACGCATGAATATTGGGGCGGGGGAGACGTAATTCAGCTCACAACACCCGTGTTCTAAGTTTTAAGATTGTTTCACCCTCTCTCCTCTGCCTCACACCAGCGCCCAGACCCTCGGCTTAGACGGCGTTCTCCCCCTCGTGCACCAGCCGCGATCTTGTGTGCCAGCAATTTACTGCTCACACGGTGCTGAGGGCTCTCAGCCGGGGGGTCATCGGGAAAAGCTAGTGGGTGGAGAGCAGTAGAGAAGCCCAGCTGCTAAGGAATCGGAGACAAATATTTTTTGTGTCTTTAAATGTATCTGCCATGTCAAGGAAAGCTGTCCACTGTCACATTACACATGGATTCTAAGTACTAGACGGAATGAGAAGAACAAAAATGTAAAATTCCACTTGGCTGCCTAAGTGCTCTCAGGTGAACAGTTTGATCATGTAGCATGGTAACCCTTAGACGTATTAATGAACTCTTGCCAGGTTAACTTTGTTGAAAGTTTGATTTAGTTGCCACCATAAATTCTGTTTGGGTGCAGGCCAGTGCTGACGAGGGCAGCTCCTTATTACAACTTTGGCTCCCTCACCGCATGTGCTGAGCGTGGAATAGTCACAGCACCACAGATGCAGGAGGAGCAGCAGCCTTTGAGATGAATACACGCTAGGTGAGGAAATGAGTGAATCGGGGAAATGGTCTCTGATTGAGATAAAATGCATCTCTCTTGGTTAGAGTCTAGCCCGTATTGGGCTCTGCTGAGGAAGATATGCCAAGAAAGTTGTTCCCAAGAGTGAGTTCTAAATCCATTCCTTTCTGATTCCTCCGCAGATATTCCCCCATCCTTTGCTCTGTTCTAGAAACAGACCCTCAGCCTTGATCTGATTATCCTATCCATTGGCTCTTTGGCCCACCTGAGAGCCCCCCCGACTACCCTGCCTCTTAGGCTTGCTGCACCAAGCCTGGTAGACTGATGGCATCCTTAGCACTGGTCGACCGTGTGTGGCTTCCACTTTACATACAAATTGCCCACATCCTTTGACTAGTAATAGTCTTCTAGGAATATATACTAAGGAAAAGAATAATGAGAGCTGAAGATCAAAATTTATGCTCAAGGATATTCATTGCAGAATTGTTTATAATACTGTAACCAACAAAACAACCTCAGTTACAAACACAGGAGATTGATAAGTAAATAATGCCTCCACTTAGTGGTCATTTAAAAATATGTTTTAGCCCAGGCTGGTGTGGCTCAGTGGATTGAGTGCCTGCCTGCGAACCAAAAGGCCACTGGTTTGATTCCCTGTCAGGGCGCATGTCTGGGTTGCAGACCAGGTACTTAGTTGGGAGCATGTGAGAGGCAACTGATGGACGTTTCTCTCACACATCCATGTTTCTCTCCCTCTCTTTCCCCCTCCCTCTCTTCTCTCTAAAAATAAGTAAATAAACTCTTTAAAAGAAAAAAAAATGTTTTAAAGAAATTTAATGGTATGAAACAATGCTCAGCAAAGCTCAATAAAACAAAATCTAGAAAATAAAAGTATATGTAATATGGTCCTGACTTTTTAAAAAACTGGAAAGTAAATACTAGAAGGAAAAAAAAAAACATGGAAGGAAATACAGAATGTTAGCGATGGCTGTGTCCTGGAAATAGAGGTTTCTCTTCTGTATACTTTGCAGTGTCTTTCAAGGTTTATAACCACAAAAAAGGCTAAATGGAAATGAGAAGGCCAAAGAGCTTTGCTACATACTCAAGGGAGATTACAAACAGATCCTTATAAAGACAGAGCTTTCTTCATGAAAATGAAACTAAAACATATCATGCTGAACTGGATCCTTTGGCCATTAAAGACATTATTAGAGCAATTGGTAAAACTTGAACGAGGTTTGTGGACTGGCTGAAAACAATATATTAATGTAAATTTCCTGATGTTAATGGTTGTATTGTGGTTATACTGGAAACATCCCTTTTTGTAGGAGATGCACAATAAAATATTCAGAAGTAATGGAGCATCATGTTAAAAATTTACTCTTAAATGGTTCTGTAAAAAATAAGTCTTCATCTTTCTTCTGAATTGAAAATATTTAAAAAAAGATAAAATTAATCTAGAAAAAGATAATGCCACCCTCCTTTTTGGAGCGCCTATTCCATGGCATAGACTGGCCGCCTGTTCTGTGGGGTGCCTCTCCCTGAACAGTGTTGTTCCTGCTGTCACCTCAGCGCAGGGCTCTACTGTCTGCCCTCAGGGTCACATTGTCCACAACTGGAAGGTGCGATGGTTTGTCCTTCGGCAGAACACGCTGCAGTACTACAAGCTCGAGGGCGGTCGGAAGGTGACCCCTCCCAAGGGCCAGATCCTTCTGGATGGCTGCACCATTACCTGCCCCTGCCTGGAGTATGAAAACCGACCTGTAAGTGAAGGCTCTGGCTTCCCAGCTCCTCCCTGCCCTGGGCCCTTCCGCCTCTGGCCTCTGGTGAAGGTGGTGTGGGTAATGGGAAGAGCGGAGTCACCATTGGAAAACCTAGTTCAAACCCTGGCTGCACCACATATGAGCTATGTGGCCTCGGGCAAGTAATGAACCTCTCCGAGCCTTCCCATCTATAAAATGGGATAAAAAATAGTCCCTGACTATCTCCCGTGATTGTGACAAGCATCCTGAAGGTAATGGCCTGTCAAAACACTGTAGACTAAGAGGCACTACACAAATGTGAGTGATGACTGCTATCTTGGGGTTCAGTATGATGGCTTTTGTCCCCAAGGGGTGCATGTTCCAAAAGTCAGGGGCAGCTTCCACTCTGCCATCAGAAAGTATCTGCCTCAACCGTTTCTCCAAGGCCCAGTATGTGCCAAGAAATTTGCTAGGCTTGGAGGAGTCGAGGAAAACAATGGTGAGATCACTTCTTCCTGAGTTAATAATCTTATTATGAAAGCAAGTGGTTAACTGAAAAACATTCAGCATTTCAAATGTTTTAAACATTATCAGCAGTGGAGAACACCGCATCCCGAAGCGGAGGAAGACGTCTGGGTCAGGAATGGCTTTTAGAGAAATAGAGATCTGGGCAAAGATTTAAAGGAGGAAAGAGGCAGGCATTCCAGACCGGGGAAGGTCTTAAGCAAAAGTAAGGGGAGAGGGAAGGATAGATAGGGAGATGTCGATGGATGGCCGGTGTGGCAGGAGCAAAGTGTGCGCTGAGGGAGCAGCGGAAAATGGCTGGGGCCAGGTGGAGGGAATGGGGAGCCATAGAAAGTTTTGAGTGAGAGAAGGGACTGGTGAAAACTTTCTGAGGAATGAAGCTCAGTTCCTAATAACGTTGCTAGATTTATGAAGGTTGCTGGCTGTCTCTTCCCGCAGTTCCTCATTAAGCTGAAGACTCAAACATCCACAGAATACTTCCTGGAGGCCTGTTCTCGAGAAGACAGGGACGCCTGGGCCTTTGAGATCACAGGTGCTATTCATGCTGGGCAGCCGGGGAAGGTGCAGCAACTCCACATGCAGAGAAACTCCTTCAAGCTGCCCCCTCACATCAGCCTGCAGTGAGTGTCCGGCCCCGGCCCTCACTCGGCCGGGCTTTGCAGCAGCCCCTCCTGTCTGTGTGCAGTGGGCTGGGGCCCCGTTCTTGCTCCTCAGGCCTGACTGCTACCGCTATGTGCTTCAGCACCTTTTGCTGTCACTGTCCCAGTTGTATTACTTTCTCTGCCTGGGAATGGCCCTGCCTACCCGCCCTGCTCCTGTGTAACCCTTTGGGGCCTCTGCTGCTTCAGCCCATCTCAGCATCTTGAGAGCTTTCCTCCAATGTCAGCCCGGGCGCTTGCGCCCCAGGAATCTCCACTCACCGAGCATGGGGCATGTTTGCAACCTGTGGCAAGAATGATGTGTTCTGGTAGCAGCTGCATTCTTGCCCTGTGGAGTTCCTCATGTATTCATTCATTCACTCAAGAAATAGTCTTTGAGTGCCTACTGCATGGCATATGCTGCACTAGAGGCACAGGTGATCAAACGGGGCTTTCCAGCCCAAGTACGTAAGTAGAAAATGAGAAAAGATCTTCCATCGGTGGCAGGACTCTTCCCACAGAACAGAAGGAAAGCAGGTCAGGGGTGGAGGTGATACTACAGAGTAGGGGTATATGAAAGGAGATCCCATGATGGGAACGGTTACAACAGCCCATTTTCAGGAAACACCCCTGACCTCCCCCGCAGCAGAAGTGTTATACCCGTCACAGACGCAGTGTGAGTCCATTCCTGGGCTTGCCAAAACCCTCCATTCCTGGCCCCGAGATCTTGATGGTGCTTCCTAAGCCATGGTGAGTGCGGGGGGAGGTCAGAGGTGTTTCCCGCAGCAAAGTGTGGGTTCAAGCGATGAATGACTTTGAGAAGTAGTTGCAGGAGTTTGGACTCTATGCTATAGATCACAGAGAATCACTGTACATTCCTTTGTTTTTAAATTAAAAGTCACAGCTCTTTAGTTTTTACTACAAAAGCAATACTCGTCTAGTACAGAGGTATTCGAACATTTACATGAACAAGAAGAAATGATCTAAAACCCTACCTCTCAAATTCTGAGCCATTTTTCTTCGTGATATGTACCTCACTGTTTGCCACTTGCTTAAAACCCTTAGCAATGACCCTTGGACCCTTTCTCATATCTGTCAGTGTGATGAGGGTCCCCTCTCCTTTGCCTTGCTTCCGTGTAGTCGCATCGTGGACAAGATGCACGACAGCACCAGTGGAATCCGGCCAAGCCCCAACATGGAGCAGGGAAGCACCTACAAAAAGACCTTCATAGGTGAGCCCTTCCTCTCAGGGGCCAGGCCGGGCGGTGGAGACCTGGGGCATGGCAATCTGGGGCTCCTCTGTGCTTGACCATCTTGCACTGAGGCCAGAACTGTGGGCGTGGCCATAGCTCTGCGTAGTGGATGCGACCTTTGGTCTGCTCTTGTGTAGAGCCCCAAGCTGCCCCGGAGGTTAAAGTCAATGAGGTCACAGCCAGGCATCCTGGAGGAAGCTGGCCTGTAGCCTGACATCTGACTGGCGCCGTCCTTGACCCGATGCAGGCTCCTCTCTAGTGGACTGGCTCATCTCCAACAGCTTTGCAGCCAACCGTCTGGAGGCCGTGACCCTGGCCTCCGTGCTCATGGAGGAGAACTTCCTCAGGCCAGTGGGCGCCCGAAGCGTGGGAGCCATTCGCTCTAACGATCTGGCTGAGCAGTTCCTGGACGATTCCACAGCCCTATACACGTTTGTAAGTTATGGAACATGTTCCTCTTGTCACCTGGGCAGAGGGAAGGAAGAGGACACAGAGTGGCGGCAAGGGGGTCCACAGTCATGAGAGAGGAGCCTCCGGTTGGAGGGACCGGTTCACCCCCCAGGTGGAGCGGGTTCTGTGTGGAGGATTTCCCTTTCCCTGTGGGAGCCCCTTAGCCTGTAACTGGTACATTTTGTGACGGAGTCCTTGCTCTGTTCTTCCCACTAGGCTGAGAGCTACAAGGAGAAGACAAGTCCCAAGGAGGAAATGAATCTCAGCACCATGGAGTTAAGTGGTACGGTGATAAAACAAGGCTACCTGGCCAAGCAGGTATGGCTGCCTCAGAGCAGGGAGGAGACGGACATTTCTCAAACTCGTGGGAGGGAGGAATTCCCCCGAAGGCTGGGAAGGGCTGAGGCTGCTAGAGGGCGCTATCAGCAGAATGAGCTAAAGCAGGAGCCCAGCAGCCAGCCGCCTGGAGGCCGTGACTCTGGCCTCCAAGGCCCCCACGCGTGTGACCCCACACATATACACACACGTGCACACACAGTCCCAGACACAGGGGTATTCAGGGAAAAGATACACACAAGTAATTATCATAACATTAAAAATCAACATCTATGTCACTGAGCAGTTCACATATTTGTCTGGAAGGGCATTGTCTCTGGGCAGGTGTGTTGCGTTTGCTGCCTCCTGCGCCCTGAGGCTTTCTGGGGTCTCTGCCTTCTTCTGTGGGACTCCACACGCCCCCTTGATACACTTTCTGAACAAAAAGTATTTTCTCCTCCTACTTCAGTAGGTTGAAGATGACATTTTACAGGGTGATTGCCGTGTTTTCAAACAGACCTCGGCCATGTTTGTGAGAGCAGCCCTGGTCACCGCGAGACAGCCTTTGTCCCAGCACACCTGCAGGATCTCTACCTGTGCCTGACAGAGTGTCCTACACTTTTGGGTTTTACCACCTGATTGATCAATTCTTACATTTTCTGGTGCAAAATGTTAAAGTGGTTCTTCCTGTATATGTGTGGATGTACACACATGCAGCTGTAGGCTTGTTTTGGGACTAAGTTGACACTTAAGTTGATGCTCTTGGGTTCAAATTTGCTTGTGAGCTCTCAGTCCAGTTGACACCTGGTGCCTCCCTGTCTTCCTCGTGCCCTGACTGATGTCCAGGTAACGCTCCCCCTCACCTTCAGCACTGAGCCTCTTTGGCTCTGTCAACCCAACTACATGTGGCAGTGTTTTTGCTAAGTGTCACTGAGCAGGGAAGTCCATGACACGTCACTGCAATCCTTGAGTCTCTGGCAGGCTTTTAGAAAGTCCCTTCGGAGCAGCTGGCTTGGGAGTTTGGCATTTGATACAAGGAAGTGCGAGGAAGGCGCTTAGAGCTGTCCCCACTGAGCCTTGCACACTTACTTTACCTCAGGGCCACAAGAGGAAGAACTGGAAGGTGCGGCGCTTTGTTCTGAGGAAGGACCCGGCTTTCCTGCATTACTACGACCCTTCCAAAGTGGGTACCCCAGGCTCACATGGTACCCATGTGAGACTTCCAGATACTTCTCTCCCGAGCATAGCAGACGGCTGGCTCGATTTTCTCTCAGCATCCCAACCATAATTTCCACCACACTATGCCTTTCCTTCCCCAATCCAAGCTTCTCTTCCAAAAAGTATGATCACTCTTTTCTTTCATCATGCTTTGGCCTGCTCAGGGGATCTTCATTATTTTGCAAGGAAAAGCGTCTTTTAGCCACTCCAAAGCTTGCTGTGCTGCTGGGGAGGTGCTTCCTACGCCCTTCACCCTTTTCCATCCACAGATTCCATGAATTCTGTCCCCTCCTCAAGAGGTTGCTCTTGTCCCCACCACTGTTTTGAAAACTTTGTTTTACTACATAGTATTTAAGCCATAATTTACTAATTTTCTTTTTTTCTAACTGATCAAAGAATTGCTGTTCTGAGTTTCAGATAGTAAGTATTACTGCATGCTGAATTGATCCAATTTCAGTCCAAAGAAAAGAAAAATGGCCTTTGAGCTGGCCTGTTCAACCTTGTTGTTGGCAGGTGTATGATTTTCATTCACGTTTTGAAAGAGTGAAGACTGGGCAGTTCCTTCCTCCCTGAGCTTCAGTCAGGAACCTCTGCCCTAAGGCCAGAATGTGAAGGAGCTTGAAGGAGGCCCTTGGACCCTGCCAGGTGCAGTGAGAGCCAAGGGCCAGGGAGGGGTGAGGCACTGAGGCTGCTGGTGGGAAACAAAGAAGCCCAAACTTCCTCAGCGGTGCTTATAACTTGACCCCATGATGTCCAGGTTCAGCCTCATCTTCTCTCATGAATGACTCTCACTGGTGTCTCTGGCTGGCATGACTGAGGGTGATTATAGTGAGAGTGCACGTCTTCCTTTTGGTCTGTCCACACAATTCCTAACCAGATGCCCTTTTCTCTGCAGGAAGAGAACCGGCCAGTGGGTGGGTTTTCTCTTCGTGGTTCACTCGTGTCTGCTCTGGAGGATAATGGTGTTCCCACTGGTAAGGTGCAACTTCAGTCCCGGCCTGAAGACCTCAGGGGCCTCCCTCCTGCGCTCTCAGTAATGCTCTGCTGGCGAAGGGCTGAGCTATGGAGCTGAGTAGGGCTTTCTCAATGAGATGATGAACGGTATGAGTTTTGAAGCCAGTTTCAGAATTAGAGAAAAGGGCATGTGTTCTTAGTGTTTTAATACTACAACTGTGCAATCCTTGTCTTTAATGTTCTTTCCTTTCAGTTTGTTTACTTGCCCATAAGCTTCCACCTAAGAATAATAATAGGTTACACAGTGTTTAAGAGTTAGCAAAACATTTTAATATCTATTATCCCAGTAATTTCACAAAAGCCAGGTAGGGTAGGAAGGTAGTATTATTACCTTTTGAATGGATGTGGAAATTGAGGTTCAAAGAAGTTAAAGTCAAACCCCAAATCTGTGCCTGATTTTTCTGTAAACACAGTGCAATCTTTGATGTGAATGAAATTGTAGATCTATGGTCAGTGTGGGCAGCAGGCCAAGAGGGCTTCCAAGGATGTCCGGATATACCACTGGCAGGCCTTAAGACACAGGAGAGGGAAAGGAAATGGGAGGAAAGGAGGAAAAGAGGAAAGCATGCATCTGGTGGGCTTCCTCAACCATATACATTGGTGTTTATTAAGCACTTCATTATTTGTTTTTGTCTGTGTCAGTTGATTTTCAGCTGGTTTCAGTAGAAAGCAGACATGGATATTTACTCATTGATTTTCTTTTTTTCTGCCTAGGTGTTAAAGGGAATGTCCAGGGAAATCTCTTCAAAATCATTACTAAAGATGACATACACTATTATATCCAGGCCAGCAGCAATGCTGAGCGAGCTGAGTGGATTCAAGCTATAAAAAAGCTAACGTGACAAGAACCCAAGGGAACAAACCAGGATTCCTCCCACCTCCCAGATGACAGAGTTTCCTGGAAGATGACTGTGTTAAGACTTTATTTTGTACTGTTTTAGAATGAGATTGGTGGAATTCCTTAGAGTGCAGTCAGTAATGGTGCTATTTCCTTCCCCATCTTTATGTTAACCCAGAAATGCTAGAACAGCCAGTAAGCATCAGCATCTTGACTTCGGTCAATTACCACAGCCAGCCATTCACTCTTTGGCCACCAACATAGGCTTTCCTGATAACACTAACCAGCCATGTATAATACTAAATAAAATGCTAGTCTTATGGTGGCTCTCTCTGAAATGCTGTTTGCAACTCTTTGACTCCTTCTTTGAGTTAGTAGAAGTCGACATTTGTTCCTGGCTATTAGAATTCCCTTTTATTTCCTAGTTTTCAAAGGTTTTTCATGGTTGAAGTTATACAAATTAAGCAAGGTGATTATGAAGACATCTCAAGTGATCTTTGATTAAGTTGTGCTTCATTGTAAAGTGGGGATGGTGGCAAAACTTTGCTGAACATTTAAAGACTATTGTTTTCCTTTGAAAAATAAGCTTTTGTAAACAATATACATCCCAGAAAAATCATGGACTCAGTTGAAGAGATTAGGCACACATACCAAACAGAAAAAAAAAGGTGAAATTGTAGCTTTACTATGGAAAACAGCAGTTAGAAAGACGCAGAGCAGGAGCTCTCTAAAGGACAAAGCTGGAAATAGGAGAGTTAAAGCAGGGCATGAAATTTGGGTTTTAAAGGGAACCTGGAGACAGGTACCAAGAAGCTTCACCAGCCGAGAGGTTAATCTGAAGTAGTGAAAAGTCTGTATCATAGAATACTTTTAAAAACATTTTTATTGCTTTCAAGTTTATACAGTAATCTGGCACAAGCTACTGAGAGCATTCCTGCTAAGTACAAGTGCTTAGACTTCCTTTAACGAATAGTATGATATGTAACTTACATTTAAGGGGAGTAGATACTTCCAAAGTGTTAAGTAAAAATTTGTCCTCTGAAATAGTTTGAACTGTCTTCCCTTAATCTCATCTAAAATACCTGACCTAAATGATCAGGAATTCCAAGCTAATGAAGTTTTATTTCATTCCTTACATTGTAAGAGACTGCCTTTTAAAGCACCATTTTCCATTTGGCATTTTACCAAGGTCTAATGTCCCTGGAATTAGTTTATTGCTTTTTGAATGTCAACAGGTGATTGTCTGAATTCAACTGCACTTGGTTTGATGGCTTCCGGACTCTAAATTGGCACAGTTGCACCACACTGTGTAGGAGATAGGAGAATCCTCATGCACTGAAAAGTAGATGACCATCACCTTGAGGCAAATCAGAGTACAACTCTTGTCAAGGTACTAGCATTCGAATTTTTAAAAAATCCCAAACCAACTTAATTCAATGGTTTTTGATGTAAAAGTAGCTAAATCAAGAATGTTTGAAAGTATGGCAGCTGAACAGTAACTGTACTTCTTAGCATAATGCAGCGCTTAGCATGTTTTTGTAGGTTCCTACTGTTTGACCATTATCCAAAGTATTGGTTTGTCTCGTTTTGTTGTAAAAGATCAAAAATGGTTTGAATGGTCCTATTTTTTGTCAGCCATTTTCGCTTAATTTGTTAATTATGCATAAGAACCAAATTATTGCTAATTTTCAGTTTTGGGTTGATAACCACTTGACCTCAAAGGCAGAACAGGAAGTAGATGAACTTGTCAATTTTTAACAAAGAGGTTTTGGAGGAGAGATCTAAGATTTAGATAAACTGGTCAATTGTCTTGGTCAACCTATTCCTTATTTGAAGCTGGGTGTGTATCTTGTCCTCATTTGAAAATGATACGTTTAGGTCAGTAGGGTATGTGTATGCCTTAAATTTAGTTAATTCTCTCTTTGTATCACTGGGGTACTGATCTTTTCTCTGGCAAGGGTCATGAATGTGCCATTGTTGTGGAACTGAGCAAAAGGCCTGCATGGGATAAATTCACTCTTCATGAAGTCCACCAGTATTTCTCAATAGTTATGGCTTTTGAAGTATAAAAATAGTCAGTAAACAAAAATTCAGTTCCCTTGTATACAGCAAACATTTAAGAAGCACCTCTTATATTTTGATGACATCTTATTGCTGAGCTTTCTGAATTTATTTTTTGACTTCTCAAAAAGACCAAGGTGAAAATTATGTGCTTATCTTGAATACATCCAGATTCTCCTCTAAATATTTCCAGTATGGCATGCTAGCTAGCAATCATGGTTTCCTTGTGGAAATAGCTATATTAAGTCAGACTTCTGGATCTAAAAATCTAATAAAGGCTGCTGAATTCAACAAAGGGGCAGCCTTTACATATGGCACAAACTATCTCACCAACACTTCTATTTTCCAGTCCCTTTAATAGTGAGTCTAGTATTGGATTGATGTAGGTGGGTATGATTTAATCTTCTAAGTATTTAAATAGCTATTCTTAAGAATAATAATAAAATTAATATATCTAGCATCTCAAGTGTACTAAGAATAAATCTACAAAAACCAGAGTAACTCAAGACAGACACCCTGGCTACTATAGCTGTAACTTTAAGCCATGTGTTACCTATGAATTTATTTACCTTTAAAATAATTAGTTCTTAAAGATAAAAATGATGAAAAATCACTGTAATTGTGTTCAAACAGATCCCTATTCTGTTATAAAGAAAATGGAAGCTCTCTAGGCGGCACCTAGTGAATATTTTAATGGAAAAAAAAAAGTTGGGTGATGATATTCAAAATAACTAAATTAAAGCAGCAGCATCTAAAAAGAAAAAAATAAAAACTTTATCACTGTGATTTAAAAACTCAAGGCAAGCAGCTTAGTATACCAACTAGGACCAGTGTGATAAATTCTCCCTCATACATGTCATCAGTCTCAAACCGCTGACAGTCACACAACCAATATAATCCTTGAATTGTACTTTAAGGCTTTCCCCACTAAGAATCAACTTTCACTGTGGTTAAAATTAAAATTATTTTCTCTAAGCCCTCCTATTGAAAAGATCTGCCATATAAGTCCTTTGAGCACTTGCCCTTATATTTCTACATCTAGACTGAAAGGAATAGAATTAGGGCCTTAGTAATCATAATGCTTTTAACTGGTGACAAGAAGGAAGAAGCCTATTAATTAAATATCCCAGAAATTTATTTAATGTTTGCTTGATACATTTATATAGAAAGTTTGGGACTATTTGCTTTGGGTGCCCTTGGTAAATTACATAGAGGCACTGAACTACAAAGGGGTGTCAATCTGGAGACATCAGAAATGGAAAACCCAATTTTATGACTGTTCTTAGCTTAAAAATGTTCAATGTGTTGGAGCTACTGTGTGAAAACAGCCGACATTTCAGGAGGGCAGTTCACATTTTGGTCTGTTAGAACATTTAAATACTTGGAAATAAAAAATATTTAACTTTGAAGTTTTCAATACTGGAAAACTTTTAAGTCTAGGGTTTATAGCCAGAAGGGCTGTTTTGTGTTCCTTAAACTGGACTCTGTTTCCCACAACGTTAATCTTCAGCTTTGGCTTCCATTTCTTCTGCATCATCATCTCCATCCACTTCTGCATTTTCTCTCTCAAGCCTTTCCAGTTGCCTTGCAAGTTCAGTTTCATCTGTATCTGTGACCACTTTGGGCTGTGAAAGCAGAGGCATAATTGCAAAGTGAAGTAATTAAATAGTACACAAAAGTCAATTTCAATACTATTACTGAATAGCATTTTAACTCTTAAACACTTTTCTTTTTAATAACTCTGCTGTATCTATTCACTTTTGAGTGCTGACATATCACTAATAAATTCTGTAAGGTCAGTAATGGAAGAAATTTATGAGAATAATACAATATAGAAAAAAGAAATACGTGTGCATTAAAAGCAAATATTATTTTCTCTTATTTTTATAAGCTAAAACTGAAAATATATGAAAATAATCTCAGTGGCTATATATATCCTTCAAACCCAAAAGAGGTCCTATAAAAATGCATCTTCTAGGTTCAAAATAAATTATTTATTATTCCTTTCCAGAGAAGAAATTATGTATAATATACATATATATGTAACATATACACATGAAAATTAGGTTTTATTCTTTTTGAGATAAGAGAAATATAGGCAACTACTTGTTTCTAATTCTGAGATCAGATTTTAAGAATCTCACATTAAGTTCTGACAATAAATCACTAATTTCCACTGTCTATTTTTTCCTTGGTGGGGGGGTGGAGGGGGAAAGAGGGGTGAACATCACTACATAACATCTACCACCACCAATAACCAGCCCATGATCTTATTTACTTATAAAAAGTCCTTTCAGGAACCCTCTGAGTCTAATTATTTTCTGCTCAGCAGATCTGTAATTCTAAATGTATCCATTTTTATGATTTTAGAATGCAAATCATTTATATTTTAAATTTCTTAAAAACTTTAAGAACAAGGCAAAAACAAACATGACCTCACCTCCATCTGAACATTGAAGACGCCCCTCTTTTCTTCAATCTTTTCTTTAATAACAGCCATAGCTTGATTGAGGACGGAGAGGCCTTCTGTCCTCTCCAGGGTTGTGGTAGTCATCACATATCGAGGAGGAGCTATGAGATTAATCTAAGGAAGAAGGTAAAACTTCAATTAGGAGTACACTTCTAGAACACACAACTACTAGGATGATCAAGAATTGTTTTGGTAACCTGTCACCTTAACAAATCGCCCCAAAACTTAACTCCCAATTTTATAATCAGCAATTTTAGTTTGTTAATGTAGCAAGTTTATCAATACCATACTCTAGTCGAATCTACTGAAATACTGAATATGAAGAATTACGACTTTTGGGTATCTTTGGTGGCTAACTTAACTATAGCTATCATCCGCATGATGAATAATTTGTCCCTAAAACAAACAAAAATTCCAATCTGGTTCTAAACTGACAGAAGAAATTCTTCTAAGAGATTCTAAATAACAACCATTCAGTTAATTTTCTTGCTAATGAAAGATTCAGAGCAAACTTCCTAAAAGTTGTGTGTTAATAGGAGAGAACCCATTGCCCTTTCCACGACTATGAACATTAGGAGTCTTTATTGTAAAGGTGCCCTCTGCACTAAATACCAACAGGAGTCTCTATCCACTGTGACAGTAACAGCAGCTACAACAAAAAGCCTGTACATAATTGTAAACATCCCCTAGAAATATCACCAAGAACCAGTTTTCATAACCCCTGTTATGAAACATGATCATTAAAAAAAACCTGACGTGGCGCAGGTGGATATTTCAGCAGAGAGGGTGAAAACTGACCGCTCACCTTGATGGGCATGGTTTCTGTCGAACAATTCAAACCTGCTCTCAGGGCTTCTTTTACGGCATCAATGCCTTCATAGCCGTAACAAGCCACTTCAATATCTAAAATTATAAAATGCAAAAACTCATACCAAAATACTGCAAAAACTCTTTAAAGGCATAAAAGAAATCAGAGATGTGGCAGATGAGTATTCAAACACTCGTGAAAGCATTCATCATCCTTTCAGTTAGACACCAATCCCAGCTATAAACGTCCCTAATTAAAGCGATCTGAAATTATATCCTCTCAACCACATCGAGCCCCTGAATGATGAAACTATATGACGGATACATTTAACAAACACCTTGAATTCTGGCTATGTCCGGGTTAAAATCTTGATTCCAACTTCTAGGTGCCCTCAGTTTCTTATTTGTAAAATGGAAAGAAGAAGTGTTTTAAAAACCGAAACAATAATTGCAAATTGTTGAGAACAGTTTAGAAATTGCATAAACTTTGACCCAGCAATTCCACTTTTAGGATGCACTGATTAAGTTATCTGTGTATAGACTATTACCTAGCCATTAAAAAGACTGAAAAAGATTCCTATGTTCTACATGGAAGGGCAGCCATGATACACAAAGTGGGAAAAGCTAGTTGGAGAAAATTTTGCATAGTATGATCTCATCTTCGTAAAAACAAAAAAAGTTATACCTGAATATACACAGCAGACACTCCTATACAGGATATGAGAATAGGAAAAATGTCTAAAAGGATATATTCTGAACTATTAACAGTGTCTAAAAGGGTATATTCTGAACTATTAACAGTGGTTAATCCAGACACATGGGAAGATATAACTGTAAGTTAGACTATTTTAAAATAGCACTAAAATACAATAACCACCTCCTTAAAAACAGGCTAATTTAAGGTTAATCTGTGTCCATATATACATTTTATGATGATTCAGTAAAATATGTTCTTAAACTTTTCTTATGAAAAATACACATTTAGAAAAATTTACAGATGTTGATGTAGTAGCATATTCTTTGGTAAGACTCACTATTTAATAGGTTTTTTGATACATGCAAAATCTTTTAACATCATTTAAAAAAACTCACCTGCTCGAATTTTGACAGCCTGTGGGGTCAAACGCCTATTAATATTGTTAATGAGTACTTCCCGTTCATCTTCATTCAAATCTAAACTATCCAAAATAGATGGGTCTCTGATTTAAAAAAAAAAAGAAAAAAGGAGATCAAGGTTATTTTACCGATAACTGAAATACCAAACACAATACCAGAGAACAATGTGTAAGAGCACAGGCTTTAGTCTATGCTTTATTCTAACCGAGTGTTAGAATAAGAATTCAAAATTTAGCTTTGCAGCTTTATAAATCTGTTTGGGTCTTTCCAAACCTCAGTTTCCAAATGTGTAAAATGACGAAAACAGTGTATCTCACTGAATTACAGTATTAAATGAGATAATGCAGCATTTAGCAATATAAGGTAAGTAGATAACACATAATTGATCGTTATTAAAAGAAAAACTAGAGATATAGCAATAGCAAGACATTTAAAATGTCTCCCGATACACCTGACATCCCACTATAATTAAGTACTTCAATGTAATTAGCAGTCTCTGCTTCAAAGAGTTTACGATCAAATTTCAAAAGAACAAAGGCATGAAAAAATTTAAACACTAAAACTGCATCTGTGGGAATCAGGAGAGAAAGCTATTACTTCCAGTTAGTGGGGCATTAAGGGCTTCATGGACAAAGCGGCATTACAGCTGGCCTTCCTAAATGCCACAAGACAGGGACCAGGGTGTTAGTCAATGACATGCTGAACAAAGGACAAATGAAAAAAAATAAAACGACTAACAGAATAACAGAATTTTAACAAACAAAGGCAGAACTGTTTTAAGAAAGGTATGACGTATTAAAAAAGAAATGGTGTGAGCGAGCACCAGACTTAAAAAACATAGGTTAAGGAATGAAGGGCAAAATAATTTGGGTGGGGGGAAATTTAATTCAACTAATACTACCTACACAGCAAAAGACAAACCAACAGACAATGGCAAATGAGATAAACAGATGTTTCATAGAAGAAATATAAACGGTTAACAAACATGAAAAGCTGTTAAGTTCACAACCAACCAACAGAATGCAAATCAAAACAAGACACTATTGTACATCCATCAGTTTGGCAAAAGGAAAAACAAATCTAAGACATATATCAAATGTTGGTGGGGATGAACAGAAATAGGAATGCTCATACAATTGCTAGAGGGAATATAAATACAGAACTGATTTGGAGAGTATTTTGGCAAAACTGAGTAAATTTAAAGATGCATATAATTAACCCTACGACCAAACAATTTTATTCCTATCCTAGGTACATACCTTAGAACTCCCAAATGTGTACCCACAGAGACACGTACATCAGTATTCATCATAGCATTGTTTAAAAAATGGGGGGAAAAGGGGTTGGGTGGGATCACCGAAATTTCGCTTAATATAGGAACACATAAAATACAATAAAATACTACACAGAAATTAACATGAGGTAGGCATACATTTGTCAATTTGGAGAAATCCTATATAATAATAAATAGCCTTTGGAGTAAATATTCAAGGCACAGAAACATAGATTGACAGAATTTTTAAATACAAAAAATGATTCTATATGTACTTTATGAATTTCCCTATGTATTAAAACCATAAAAACAGAAATTACAATGATTTGTACTAATTTCAGAATAGTGGTTACCATCTATGAGTGTGGCAAATGGATTGGGAAGGGTAAAACATTATTTCCAACTATCTTGGCAATTTTATGTCTTAATTAAAAGAAAAATATGAAGCACATGTGGCAAGGAATTAGCATTAAATCTGGACACGTGCTACATGACTGATGACACAAGAGAAGAATGGTAAGGGAACGGGACTAATCCATATGCCAGGGCTGAGCAGCAATGGAGCGGGTGCTGGAGATGGACGCGAGAGAGGGCAGCGGGGCCAGACGACAGCAAGCCGAGGCATAAACGCGCCGGCTGAGGAGTGACGAGCTGAAGTCAGGGGGGACGGAGACACAGAGCAGTGCTTAATGGTTAACAGTCTGGTTTGACACCTGGGGGAAACCAGAATGCCCGGTTTGAATCCTGGCTCCTCTGTTTGCCGGGTCAATTTGGACAAACTACGGACTCTCTGCCTCAATTTCCTCATCTATAAGATACAGATTAAGAGAATTTATAGGTTGTTTTGAGAATTATATAAATATTAGCTATTATAATTATTAGTATTCTCATCTCTCCGACAACACGATATGAAAAAGGTTACATTTGGGGGTAAACCGGGAGGGATCTGGAGAACCTACTCAGTCAGCTCGAATGGTCCCAGGCCCCACTCTCCAGGGCTGAGGGGACCATGACCGCTCGGCAGCAGAGGTTGGGAGCGTAACCTCCGGACAGCGAGAGGCTGCCGGTGGAGCATGAACATTTAGGGAGGAGTGGGCGCTGCAGAAGTGGGAGGTGAAGGAGTCTGGCTATTAAACGGAGAGGACACAGTGCTTGCTCAGGAGAAAGCAGGGAGAAGGTTGAGAAGTCTGTGTAAATGGGGGAAATCAGAACACATTTATATGCTGCTAGAGCAATCCAATTAAGGGAAAGACTGAAGACCCGACAGAATGAATAAACGGCAGGCAGAGGGAAAGAGGTCCCTGAAGCGGTAGCTGGGCACAGGTGCTGGGGCTGGTTTGAGAGCAGGAGAGGCAGGAATCCCAGTGTGACAGGAGTGCAGGAAGGGGGTAATGACAGGTGAGATGGAGATAAGTTTGCTGAGATAGTGGAAGGAAGTAGAGGAGATCCTGTGCAGTATAACAGCTTTTTTTTTTTTTTTTTTTAAATAAACTAGGTGGTGAGTGCTCCAGGTGAGCATGAGGGAAGAGTGTGGAGAAGCTCTAAAACAGCCACTCTAAGACTGGAGGAAGTGACCAGGAACAAAGAGAATGTGAGGCAGCTGTGAAAGCCCAGCTGAGGCCGAGGCCACGATGCAGGGCACCAACCCTCAAGACTGGTTTTCCTAGCAGCACCCAGCAGTCTGTAAGTGTGTGGAGAAGGCAGGAACATCACTCCAAGACTGGATGTAACAGAAGGAAAAACAAGGCAAAAGCTTATATTGGTCAAGAAAGGTGCTGAAATGATGGACCACACTGTACCTACTACGTACAGTAAGAAAGAGAAGGCAGGAAGGAGTGAAAAGACAGGGAGAAAAAAAGGTTTGGAATCAGAGCTTGACTTAAGAATTGAAACGACACAGAGTGGGACTAACTATATGAGAGCTGGAAGGAGATGGGGCTGTGGTGGTAAAAAAAAAAAAAAAAAAGGAATGTATGAACTACAGGGTTTAGAGGCAGAGCAAATCCTGATGACAGTAGATCCAGGGTGAAGCCATCTGGAAGACTGGCTAAGGTTGCATGGCTGAAGGTCTAAGGATTGCGAGGAAAACAAGAGGCCACAGTTTTAGATGAGACATCTATATTGGTCCTGAAGTCATCTAGGACAATAAAAAAAGTAGAAGGAAATGGATAAGGGAATAGTATAAGATGAGACCATATAGTTTATGAAACTATGTAACTGACATAAGAAATTGTATAGGCTTGGCTATACAGGATTGGCCCATCTGATGAGCCTTTTATACTGAAACATTTTAATCTAAATTTGGCAGGGACTTAACACATGGATGTTGTACTATTACATGTCAGGCTCTCAACCTGCATGCTAGACCCAACCAGCAACTGTGACATGAAGGTAGAAGCAGAGCCAACAAGACGTTCTTACGAGACTGCATGCTTAAATGCATCATAGGCACCATATCCGGGTCTCTTGTACTTGTCATCAAAGACCCAAGCAGTCCTCTGGAACAGGCTTTCCAGTTGCTCATCCTTGGTGTACTCCAATACCTCAGCAACGTGACGAAGAATGCTGTAAACCTAGAAACAAAATGAAGGGCTCAACAATTCAAAGGTAAGAGACCTGTTAAAAAGATAGGTATTTTTACACTGTACTCAGCTGGGTATAACAAGTAGAAATAGTACAGAAATAGTCCTAACACCCAGATTGTCTTGACTTTTGACACAAATTAACTTCTCTGAATTTGTTTCCTCATCTGGAAAAGGGAGATACTAGTACCTCTCCTTTTTTACTGTAGAGCTCTTACACAGATCAAACATATACAAGTGCACACTGCAAAAGGAAAACATTATGCAAATAGTTATATAAATGTATAAAATTTGAATATTCTACAAATCCTGTTAAACAAACATAAGATATTATTACTACCATTCCGTATGAGAACATGGAACCAGGACTGAAATTCTAGTATTTCTTTTGCTCTGTTATAATTTCACAGTTATTTTTAATCTTACTGCTGCTGAAACTTTTCCTAATCTCCAAAAAATAAAACATCTTAAAGGAGAGAAAGTATAAGGAAGGAGGTTTTCATGTTAATTATACATGAAAATTAAGTGGGAAAAGGTACTAACACTGGCTATTCATTCTATCCTGATAAGATCTACTAATATAGTCATTTTACACCAGGTTGACAAAACAAAATGGAAGTTTTCTACAGCAGTGTTTCTCAAATGTGGATTCTCAAATTTGTTGGGACTTGAGATTCTGCATTTCTAATAAGCAATCAGGTGATGCCAGTGCCGCTGTTCCACAGACTACACTCTAAGTGGCAAGGTCCCTAGTTTATTAAAAAGAGATTTCAGTGACAGCTTTTGAATGTGTAAACTATGTTACAGTAATAGTAAATACATCAGCAAAACAAAGGGAAAAAGTCTGGCAATGGTCTGATGGCTTTTAGATTTTTATTCTGTTTTACTAGGGCTAAGCAAGATTTTTAAACAATCTCTTCATTTAAACATTGTTTTCTTGGCATTTTATCTTGAGGGCAGAAACACACATGGCATAAGAGAAAGAAGACACAAGAAAAGGGCAAACAAAAGAGAAACAATGGAAACAGTGCCATCAAGAATCGAGGATCTTGGGAATGAAGGATAATCTAAACAGGACCAGAAACAGAACAATCCAAAGAGAAGGTGAATGCAGAAATGGCTGCTCTTGTTTTATTAATGCTTATTGCGGGGAAGTAGGAAATTACAGGGAAAGTAACAGTAGCAACAGCAGTAGCAACAACAAAAAAAAAGAAAAAAAGGAAAAAAAAACACCAAAAACTAGTAACAGACCCCTTCCTTGCTTTCCTAGGTTTACAAACATTTTATAAACCCTTGCTCATTTTTAATGTGCAACAGCTGGTTGACTCTGTGACCCTTATCCCAGAATAGGAACAAAAATCAACAACTTCATGTTGTGATAAGTTAAATCAACTGAAACCACAGATAATTAATTTATTCCTAAAACAGCTTAAAAATACTAACATTCAGTACTGTTTTGAGAATATTAGATTATAAGCAATACTTTAAGGTAGCAACACCATAAGAATACTGTAGTCATAACCTTTTGAAATTAAGGCTTTAAATTATTTTCTATGTAACATGTAACGAAATGAAAATATAGTTACAGAAAATTAGGTTTTTTTATTTTTTACCAGGAACATGACTTGCACATCAAATAGTGGATTAATTTGACTAAAAAATCAACTTACAGTTTTGGATTTAGTGAATTTATCTTCACATTTGATTGCTTCCTCTGGAGAAACTCTTCTTTTTGACAAATCAATGTATCCTGTATGAAAAAATTTTGAAAAAAAAATTATCCCTGTCCAGATGCCAGCATACTACTGTGACAAATTTTCACAACCAGCTGTTTGGTTGGTATACTTATACTTACTCCCCACTAAAATCCTATCAACAAAATACAAGATGAAAAACTTTTTGTTTTCAGAAATGTATCTTTATTATGATATAACTGTATATTCTCTATTACCTTGCTAGAGGAAACAAATTATTTTTCAGTTATTCAAATGAAAGCTGGTCAAAAGATTCTGTCTATTTGGCATCCATGCATCATAGGGTCAACTGTATTAACTGAATTTGCTGTATTCTTCCCACCCCCCCAGCTCCTGCACTTACAATCTGGTATTAGTACTTTGATCAGAGAAATCTGAAGTTCATCATACTGGAGGGGTTCTGAAATCCCACAGTGTCTTAGCCTGTAGGTTACAAAGCCTCAGCTTCTCATACTGGATGAGGTTTGCCCAGGAGATAAGACTTATAGCTACAGTGGCAAAAATACTAAGAGAAGAATCCTATTCTTCTAGCTGGGGCCTGTGGGTGAGAGAGGCCGATATATACAGTGGAAAGAAGACGTGGATATTTCATCCGCATCAGGAAAACTTAAGTTCCATGATTTGGGTTATGTCACAGGTGCCAAGAGTACAAAGTAGGAACTAAGGCCACTAGCCTCTCAAACCAAGGAGCTTGCACTTGGCCATCACTTGTGGGACTCAGTGATGTTAGAGTCCCATGGCCAACTGGAAGGGCCTAAGGGCTGAGGTGGAATGTAACTACAGACATCAGAAACATACAGGGAGTAAGAACTGGTTGATATTGTGATGTGGGCACATTCTTGGCTGGAAGAATCGGGTTTGGATGCTTTAGAGATAGCTGTTTTTGCTGCTGCTGCTTCCTCCATTTGACTCACCAGTTCCCAAACCAAGTCTTTATTGTTGACTCTGGTAGGTTGAGTTTCAAAGTGAGTTCCTTCTGGAGATTTTTATCTGGAAACATGGTGTAGAAAAACAGAGCTTCCAACTGTTTATGCTGTGTGTGCATGCAAGAGGTACGTTTTTTGGTGTTTCATATCGTGGGACCAACTGGATTCTGTGGTACTGAGCTCATTCTGGAATCACCCATGTGGATAAAGGGTCTGGCTGGGGACTCTCTGGGGCCACTCTGATCATTAAGGGTGCTGTCATCTGGCATGAGTAGCTGTGATCAACTCTGTCTGGCTGTAGCACGTCAATACTGTAATCACGCATGCTGACAACAGTGGGTCTGGGGAGTCCTAGAGGCTCTTCTGTTCGTCTGAGCTGCACTGGTGCGCTGACATCTGTGGCCTGGCTGACTGGGTGAGGAGAAGCCCCTTCCCAGGGCAGCCATTCTTAGAGATAGCAAGAGGGCTCCAAGGGAGCAGCTTTTCACATGTAAACTAACTGATCCAGAGCCCTTACCTCCAACTGTCTGCTCATCAAAGTCTCACACACCAAGTCAATATTCCCCTTGACCTAAATCAGCCCAGAGCCAGGTACCAGACCACCGGGACCAGCTCTGATGCCCCAAGGCCTGCCAAAACTATTAAAACTAGCCAAATCTAAATTGTTTACCCTGACCTGCCTTTCCTGTGGAAATCTTAGTAAGGGCTCTGGCTTTCCCCTTGCTCCCTCTGCCTCTTGACCAAATTTGGTGCTTCCTGATGTGGCTCTACATGGTATGGGTGTGTCCCCATCTCCCGGGAAACTTAAATAATAAAAAAACTTCTTTCAATGGCAATGGCCTCTCCATGTCATCAGTCACCTCCATAAATTAAAATCCTACTGGTACAAATGACAAGAGCAATTACACGTATTCTAAATTTAGGAAGGGGAAAAAAAGGTCTTTTTTTAAAAAAAAAATTTTGGGCATCACATCTTTGGTCTGAACTCCTTTAATATTTCTTTTTTTAAAAAAAGATTTTATTTATTTATTTTTAGACATAAAGACAGGGAGAGAAACATCAATGTGTGGTTGCCTCTTGCGCGCCACCGCCCTGGGGACCTGGCCTGCAACCAGGCATGTGCCCTGACTGGGAATCGAACCTACAACTCTTTGGTTCGCAGGCTGGTGCTCAATCCACTGAGCCATACCAGCCATGGCACCATTTCTTATAATGCAAGTCCTATTTGGTAAAAAATCCTCTTAGTTTCTATTAACCTGAAAAAGTCTTTGAAGGTATTTGATCTTCACTGTTGAATATTTTTAGATACAGAATTCTAGTGTGACGGGGTTTTTTTCTGAGTGCTCTAAAGGTGTATTGTCATTCAATGGTCTGACCTCCATTATTTCCAATACACATGCCGCAGTAATTTGTCCTACTCTTCCTTTATAAATAACGTGTCATTATTCCTTGGGTATTTTCAAGATTTTCTTTTTATCTGCTTTTCAAGTCTGCTGTGCCTAGATACAATCTTACTAGTATTCTTGCAATTTGCTGAACTTCTCCAATTTATAAATTTATATTTTTTCAGCAAATATGGGAAACTTTTGGCCACGGTTTCTTCAAATATATTTTCTGCCCTCTCTCTTTTTCTCTTGCAACAGAGCTTTTGATATTTGACAGGTTTTCTTTCCCCCTTCTGTTTTTCAGATTAGTTCTTTTTAGAATGAACTATCTTCAACTTCCACTGAGCCTTCTGTCATCTTTAATCTACTAGCCATCCAGGGAATTTTTTAGATATTACACTTTTGATTTGTAGAATTTACACTTCATATTAGCCAAAAGGCCGAGAAGCGATTTGTAGAATTTGTATCTTTTTTGTGAGTTTCTAATTTTTCTACAGAGATTTAATTTTGTTCATTGCAAGCATACTTTCTTAATATTCTTGAGCAGTTATAATATCTGCTTTAAAATCCTTACCTGCTAATTAAAATATAAGGGTCATCTTTAGTGTCCACTGATTGCCCTTTCTTTTCCGTATGGCTCAGTTTCTTCAAACGTTTGGCAAATTTAGACCATATCCTGAACATTGTGAATGACACATCACAGACCATGAATTCCTTTATTGTTTCCCTTAAGGATACTGATTTTGTTGTAGTAGGTACTTAATTTGTCTAAATTCAAAACTATAAGCTCTGTCTTCCCAGGTGGAAAGCAACTGAAATCTGTTTAGAATTTTACCCTGTTGGGTTGCTTGCAGTCCAACCTGTGTATTGGTATTTCAGAGGTCAGCCAGAGATTTGAGCAGGATTATACATAAATTATTTTTTTGTAAGATTTAATTTATTTTTAGAGAGAGGGGAAGGAAGGGAGAAACAGAAGAAGGGAAACATTGATGTCAGAGAGAAACACTGATTGGTTGCCTCCCGTATGTGACCAGACCAAGGACCAAACCCACCCAGGCATGTGTCCTGACGGAATCAAATGGCGACCTTTCGGTTTGTGGGATGATGCCCGACCAACTAAGCCACACCAGTCAGGGCTTTATATATAAATTTAGGGGTTCTCCCTGTGTCTCTCCTTTCTATGATCGCTGTAATTTCTTTCTAACTGCTGTGGTTGCCCAGAACAGTCACCTCTGGTTCTCAAGCCATGAAGACTGCAGGTTTCCACTAGAATTTTAGCTGTCCTGCTTGAAGCTATCTGTAACATGCATTCAGGCAAAAAGCTGCAAAACTTATCTAGTACAACAATTCCTTTCTTCCTTCAGTTTCAGCCTGCTTTTGACTGTTCTCTTTTTTTAAAATGTTTAATCAGGGTTTATAGCTATTATTTTTAAAAGTTTAGCCAGTGGACCTAATCTAGTAACAGAAATGAATCCTCTACATAGGATCTTCTGCACTTTGCCTCTTTAATCTTATTCTGCTCATTTTCCCACATCAGAATATTCAGATCTCATTTTATATATAATTGCATTGCATGGATGTGTCATGATTTATTTTACCATGATTTTGATTATCTCCTATTTTTAATTAATAGTGCACAATGTAGCTATGGAAATTATTTTTACATGTAAATTATTATATATGCAAGATAACATTTTTCTGATTGCACATAGAGATTTGATTCCTTCTCATTATATACAAGAAAAGAAATACAAGACAAGACACCAATCTAGGTTGTTCTGGGGCAGTGATATGAAGCCTTATTAAGCTGGAGGAATATAATAGTCCCCTCTTATCCACAGGGGATACATATCAAGACCCCCAGTGGATGCCCGAAACTGCAGATAGTATCAAACCCTATATATGCTATTTCCCCCCTACACAAACATACCTTTTCATTTAAAGATGCACTTAATGGCTTTTCTTTGGCATATCCCAATTGCCAGCATCACTACTTTGCACCTTGGGGCCATTAAGTAAAATATGGGTTACTTGAACACAAACACTGCAATTGACTTTGACAGTCAATCTGGTAACTGAGATGACTACTCCGTAACTAATGGGCAAGTAGTAGAGACAGCACGGGTATTCTGGACGAAGGGATGATTCATGTACCGGGCAGGATGGCTAAAGATGTCACCATGCTACTCAGAATGGCGTGCAATGTAAAACTTATAAATTGTTATTTACCATGGCCTAAAAATATTAAATGGAAAATTCCTCTGGGAATTTAGGTTACTTGATCCATAAAAATGAATCTCGGGATGTACTAATTAAATCATTAACTTAAGAGATCTTGCTTAGGTGGCTGATTGGCATCCTTCTCTAATAACTTTGTATATAAAAGAATGTATAAAAGGAGGCATTTTGGTTCTTTACTGCAGTAGGCAATTTACAAAAATACATTTTATAATAAACCATTTTAAGTCTGACGTTTATACAGGATGGGGCAAAAGCACAGGTAGAGTTGTTCATATAGAAAATAATACAATAATAAATAATAATACAAGGATAAACTCTGTTTCACATACAACTGTAAACCTACTTTTGCACCCACCTTGTACTTTAGATATTTTTTATCACTTACCTTTTTCTTTGTCCACTCTAATGACAACCACACATTCATTCCTGCCAATTCGGATGAGTTTGTTTATGGAACGAATACGCCTTCTGGACAACTCACTAAGAAGAATCATGCCTTCAATATTGTTGTATTCCAGCAGGCTGACATAAGCCCCCATTTCAGCAATGGATCTTACATTCACCATCACTACATCTTCCACCTCAGGAAATTTGTGTTGATAAAATCTACAACTTAGACCCGGCATTCTGCAATTTAAACAAAAGAACCAAGTAAGTGCTCAGTTAAGGTGAAAATAAAGAAATGTCCGTTTCCCACATTTTGCCACTGCAAAAAGTTTTTAGTCCTTTCATCCCTTTAAACTTCTTAAATGTTATCAGAAAACAGATGATGTCTAAGAACCAAGCTTTAATTCTCATTTTGTCCACATATTTATTAGTCTTGGGTGATTCTCTGCCATCAGTTTCAGAGGAATCATACAAAAATAATGACAATCTATAAACTCTGAGGTCTAAGGATTCAAGGTACATACACCTCAAGAGTAAAATACCATTTTAATATTACCAGTTCATCAAATGGCCCTGACTGGTGGGGCTCAGTGGAATCCCGCAAAATGGGGGGTGACTGGTTCAATTCCCGGGTCTGGGCACATCCTGGGTTGCAGGTGAGATTCATAGTTGGGGGCACACAAGAGGTAACCTATTGATATTTCTCTCTCACATCGATGTTGCTCTCCCTTTTTCTCCCTCCCTTCCCCTCTCTCTAAAAATAAATGAAATCTTAAAAAAATATATAAATGATGGGAAGCATCACTATTATTATAAGTCTATCAGCAAATTCTGAAGTTATTCTTCCTCCAAATCAGCTAAGACTGCATATGCTACTACTCATTACATAAAAAGGGAAGAATCTTACTAAACTGAAACCTGAATCCTAACCACATATCAAATAATATGTCCTATACTTTTATAGACAAAATTACAACATCACATGCCAGGACAAAAAGGAAGTTTATAATCACAAAAGATATTTAATTTAACTAACATGTATCCTCCTCTCTAAATTTTTTCCTCTTAAAACAAACTTTAAGTCACAATTACCATGATTTCTAGCTTCTACTTTTTCCAGCACTCCCAGATACTCTTCTGTTGAATAGGTATACCAAATCTTGAGAATAGCTTTATAGATCTCAATTACTATAAAGTTCAAGTTTCTTTTAACTTCTAAGTATTACATGTATTTAAACTATTCCCTTTGATCCACCCAGCCTACTTTGAGCATGATTCCTTTTATGACCCACAAGCCTAAAATCATACCAGGAGTAGCAATATATTTTTACATGGAACTAATCACAGTTGAGGATTTTCATACTTTTCTGTTAACCTTAACCAGTTTACTCTTGTCAAAGTTCAGAAGACAAGCAGTAATAGGACCAAAGTGAAAAATTTGTTAAAATCACTTATTTTTTTTATTATTTGGTAAATAAGGCTGCCATTACGTGATCTTAAAGACAGAGCATTCGTACCCAGCTCGTAGAACACCAGAGTTCTGCTGCTGTGCAGTTTGAGAATTGTTCACTGCACCTACATGTGTCTTCCCAGTGGCTTCCCATTGATTGAAATTCATCTTTCCATTACCTACAGGGTCCTATTCGATCTGGCCATAGTCTCGCTCCCTGAGGTACCACTTTCTCCCTAGTTCACCCCATTTTATAGATGAAAAAACTGAGGCACAGGCCAAGCAACTTGTTCTGTCGTATACTACTAACAAGTAATAGTGTCAGAATGTGAACCTATGAAGTTTGGATCCACAGTCCATGCTTATTCATCAGGCAATATTTTCTTTCAACATTAATAAATGTATTACACTTAGAAACATTTTAAACAAAGAGCAACATTAATATGGTTATTCAGTGCTGAAGCATTTACTACAGATTAACGAGTACTTTCAGTACTAACCTATCTTGTTTAACAACAAACAACAAAAAAGTAGCACACTGATAATAGAGATGTACTTCTCTTGTAGCTTGACAAAACAGGGATTCAGCAAATAAAGGGAAGCAGACATTCAATGGCCAGAATTACCCACCAAGAAAACAGCTGACTTGGTCACTTCATTGTTAAGTGGGGGTGGGGGGGTGGTGTGTGGGGCACGGGGGGCGGGCAACTGTTGCCAAGTATCTGTATATAAATTACTAAAACTTGAGAACTAAAAATGTTTTGAAACAGGTATCAAAATAAAAGATGTCATGAAAATCTATTAAATAGTTTTAAGAACTTTTTAACACATGCTAACATTTACTTATCAAGTTTCTTCAAACAGTAAAGCTGATAATTTTCGGGAAACAAGGCTTAATTTGATGGTTAAAGAACATAGGCAATAATGCAAACGAATCCTGAAGGGAGATATAAATGCTATAGCTTTAGGAGGTTCAAGTCTCTTTGCAACATACAGGATAAAGGAATACTGCTAATGGTAAATATGTTATTCACAGTAAAGATAGAAAGTAACTGGTACAAAACGAGTGCATTTCACAAAGAACCTGCATACTGGTTCACAGATTTTGCACATATCTCCATATTTATGCTCATAATTACACTAACTTTTAAAAAAATCAGCCGGGAAAATAGAAGTCACAAGCTACATATCTATCAGCCCTTTATTCAGGGGTCCCCAACCCCAAGGCCGCAAACTGGTGCTGGCCTGTGGCCTGCTAAGAACTGGGCTGCACAGCAAGAGGTGAGCAGGAGAGCAAGTGAAGTGGCATCTGTATTTACCATCGCTCCCCACGCTGGCACTGCCGCCTGAGCTCTGCCTCCTTGAGTCAGCCCCCACTCCACCCCCGTCAGTGGAAAAATGGTGCCATAAAGTTCATATAATTTTCAAAGTACTTTGACTTACTTTATTTGGCCCTCAAATAAGTTCTCAAGTCAGGCAAATAGTACTGGGAACTTCAGCAACAGCTGTTAGATGTACCAGTCCTTACCATCTTACTAGCTTTGGTTGCTTGGGAAACATATTCGCATTGAACTGTAGTTTCTACTCTGAGCCACGCACCTCACAGATTTGTGGAGAGTATCAAATGAGATAAAATACATGTAAAAACATTTAAAAAATGTGATTTGTTATACAAGAATTTGTAAATAATTATAAAAAGGCAAAGAAAATATTATTTGTTTTGTAATTTAATTTGTTAAACAATTACTTTTGCAGTACCTACTATGTCATGAGCACTACCGTTAAAACAGTTCAGACTCTTACCTAAAGAACTGAAGTTTGGAGTGGAAAACAAAGTAATAAGCAAATAATTGCAATATAAATTATTATGAAATGATCACACTGGAGTAGTCAGTTAACAGGGAACCAAGGAACAGAAATATTGTGACTTTCTTAAGGACAAATGCTGAGGAAGTATTAGAACACAAGCTAAAACCAAGCCCATGACATTAAATCCGGAGTGTCTTTAACCCACAGAACCTCACTATGTCACAGCACTACAACACCATAAGTGTTCTTTAAAGAACAACCCTCTTTCAAAATATATTAACTGAACTTCAAGCTAATTTCCAATACCCTGCACTGTTGGTGATTTTTGTCTGGTCAACTCGTAGGCAGGACTTCTTTCTTAAATCAGTGCATGGCCAAGTCACCATAATGGATACAAGAAGTCTCCATTCCTTTTCAAAGTGAAATGTATTATGTGTTAGAAACAACTCTTGTGGTTATTTTAATTAGCCTCTCACACACGCTCTCTAAATGCTAGTTTTTAGTATATAAATGCTACAGAAAATAAAGCTTTAAATTATCTCACTGTAGTTGAAAAGGGATACACCAATATCTACCAACATCACCGCGCACTTCTGAGGTCTTTTGCAGTTATTTGGTATCAGATGAATCGAGAAGTGGTAGTACAGCTCTCTCACGAGAAGTAATTCTCGAAGTGTTCAAAGACACAGACTCCCAAGTTTTTTCCTTGAATAACAACTTCAAACGGGAGAAAAACCAAGACTTCTCTGCTACACGTTTTCTACAGGAAACAATGTTTCTTGTTTAATGAAAATTAAAGTATCTTAAGTTTGCAAGACAATAAAAGGAACCTCAGGCTGAATACTTATCTAACCCAAAAATTCCCTAATGTTTTAGTTTTACTTAATTGTAAGACCACAGCGCGTGATTCTGTAGTTCTGTTCTCATCGGTGCTGAAATACGGCCAAACGACAGGAAGCGTATTAAACTCAACAGCACGATTTAGTTCAAAGGGTGTCTGATTTTACAGAAACGCACATCTCGAGCGATAAGGTAGCCAGAGCTTCAATCTTTAAAAATAAACGATCAAATGAATAAACTACTCGTGGACCCTTTATTACCCAGTTCTCGTAAACACGGCGACCCATCCCACTAGTCCCTTGAGGTGTCGTCCTCTCTGGTTTCCAATGAGAGGTTATATTTTCTGAGGCCGAAAGCAAAAAGAAAAAAAAAAAAAAAAAAAAAGAGGCAGAATTCTCAAGCCCGGGAAAGAGCAAAGTGCTCAGCGTCCCCAGGCGGGGGTGTCACTGCGCTCTCCCAAGGCGCCCCACCTCAAGGCATCCTCACTTCTAAGTACTATATTGAAGAGGCTGCAGAGTCTCTTGGCCCACTTTCCTTCACGAGATCCCTCCGCTCGTACGAGGAACCTCTGCAACACCGAAAGACCGACGCGAAGCCCGCGGGTGGCGGCGGTGGTGTCCAGACACTTCCCGCGCCGGGACGCGACGCGCCGGGACCGGAGAGGTGTGAGCCCGGGCCTACCCTCTCTCGACCACCCACGTATTGGACACAACCAGAATGAGCTCTTTGAGAAACCGATCTAGAGGACTGGTCACCTGAGGTATATGTGTGAATCCCGCAGTGGGGTCCCGGCCGCGCTCTTTAATCGAAGAGATCACTAGCAATTCACTCGGAACAGCCGTCGATTCTCAGCGTGCGCTTCGCTCAACCCCACCGCGCATGCGAAACCACTTCGCAACACGCAAGCGCCAACAGAATAGAGGCCCTCCTCTTCGTCACTGACCATAGAGTCCAGGTCCTCCGAGAACAAGGAAGAGGTAGATGAGAGGACGACCTGAAAAGTACGCTTTCTCGTTCTCTGTAGTTTTCGATAAGCAACCTTCAAGGTGCAAGGAAAAGGTAAGGCTCTGATTCTTTGTCCCTGAAGTATAAATCCTCTCCCAAAGCCTCGGTTAATCCGGAGGTGGCGCTGTGACCAAAGGTGACACGGGGAGGAAGAGAAGCGGTGTACTCTTCTCTCCTGTTCTGTAGCGTCACGCTTGCAGAGCCTCGCGCAGCCGCCTGGAGCCGGAGCGGGAGGGGCTAGGAAGCGAACCGGAAGTCAGGGGCCGTCTCGTGATGCGCGCGCCTTAGCATCCGGGCATCGCCTTTTTCGCGTCCTCCCCTTCCTCCCGCCCCTCTATACCCTACTTGCCAACAGGAAGCGGAAGTGAAAGATGCGTATCCTTGCGGCCTCTTAGCAACGCGAGGTGTGGGTCAAGTGATAACCAGCTGATTCCGGTAAAGGAAGGTACTGTGGCTGGGTCTGTTGCAGTCACGGTTGCCCCGCCGGGAGCCCGAGTCGAACACCCGTCGTCAAAATGTCGGGCAAAGACCGGATTGAAATCTTTCCCTCACGAATGTAAGTAAAAGAATGGGACAAGCAGCCCTCATTTAGGTTCAAGAACGCCTGGCGGGATTCTCGGTTCCTCCGTACCCTCGAGCGGCAGCGAGGTTCCTGATTTTCTGGGCGGATCTTGAGCTCTCCCAGTCTCTTCGCGAGTCTAGGGCGAGGCTTCTTGACGGCGCCTTCACACATTCTTCTGAGTGAAGCAGGCTTGTCAGAGCGATCCCATTCCATAGGAACAGGCGCCCGCCCTGCTGGCTTTTGTGGGGGGTCTGCTGACCTTACTCATCAACCGAGCCATTCATTCCACACTCGGTATTGACACGGGCACTGGATTTATATAACAAGGAGTCGTCGCCACTCGTGCCCTGACAGCGCTCAGCTTAGCGGAGAGATGGACATGCCAGTGAGTTTTGCTAAATGGATTGCGAAGGGACGTTTACTGCGGTGGGAAGCATATAGGACTTCAAAGTCAAAATGGAGTGTTGAATCGAAATGCCCTAGCGTGGATGTCAGATTCGATCTCAGATGCCCCAAAGTCCTTTTCTAGGTTGTCATGACGTGTCACGTGCGGTGGGAAGATAGCCCTGAGTTTCTGATGCAGCATTTGTGTACATATCTGTCGCATTGGACTGCGAGCTTTCTCCCGGGTGAGAGAGTGTCTCGATTATTAATCCGCAGCTGGTTCACGAAACATGTTCCTTGAATGAACCCATGGCCGGGGCCTGCACAGTCGTGGGCTGCCTTTTGGATTTGGCCTGATTCCTTTGCAGGAGAAATAGCATGCCGTCCCAGGTGTTTGGCCGGCCTGTAAAGAAAATTGTGAGGTTTTTCTCAAATGTATTTTAACAATGTGTGGAAAGTCAAGATTGTTCGTGTTTGCTCTCTCCTCTTTTTTTTCCTCCCCCTTTCTTTTTTCAGTGAGGAGCAGAAGACTACTTTTGGCTCTGACATTTAGATCTTTTTCATTGTGGTCCTCTCTCTTCGGAAGTATTCTGTTGTTTTCCTTTATCCTGACGTTTTTCTCAGAGAATTAGGACTTTAAAAATAAAAGAGGTATTTTCAAACTCCAAACCTAGATTTCTGTCTCTGCCTGGGTGGCTACAGCTGTTAATGAAATGAAAGAGTTACTGGCTTTTTGTTTATTCTTTTACTTTCACCTACTGACTTTCTAATAGCTGTTTGTACTAGGTAGGAATCAAATCAGGTGTGGAGAAAGGCAGTGCCTGAGAAATAGATAAGGATCAGGACTACGCTGGGGTAGTGAGAGCTGCAGACTTTTCAGCACTTAGTGGCTGGCTTTGTCCAAATCTCTGCACTGAGGAACAGCCAAACTCTATCTGGCATAGCTTCTAGACTTGTTCTTAGTATGACACCAGCCCCCATTAAAATGTCTGCCCGAGAAAGCTCAGTGCTGCCAGGAGAATTTACTGTTTGTTCTACCCAACACCCGATGCTGGATCCCTGACCTTCCTTCTTAAGGCATTTTTTTACTGAAAAGGCCTTACACTTATGAATCCTTCTTTTTCCCATTGAGATGTATATGTCTCCCCTACAAATTACAGATATTTTTTCTCAAGGACCTGAACATTTTTTTTTTTTTAGATTTATTTTATTTTAGAGAGAGAGGGGAAAGGAGAGAGAAGGAAAAGAAGAGAAACAGCAATGTGTGGTTGCCTCTTGTGTGCCCCACACTGGGAACCTGGCCTGCAACCCAGGTTTATGCCCTGACCAGAAATCAAACCCATGACCCTTTGGTTTGCAGTCCAGCACTCAATCCACTGAGCCACACCAGCCAGGGCTGAACACCATTTCTTTGAAATGTAATCATCAGGAAAGACTAGGCCTCTGTGAGTATAGAATCCTAACTTCCATAATTGCATCTAGCAGACGCAGCTGGCCCGATCGCATTTCTGCTGACCAGCTCTCTGTAATTTATCACTTCCGTGACTCTACTTGAGTCCCCTCTTCCTTTTCTCCTTCATTCTTCCTTTAAAATGTCCAGTCACCTCTGCACAAATCAGAGTGGAGCTCAGCTCTGTCTCCTACTGTCACTAAATAAAACCTGTTTTCACCACTTCAACTTTTGTTCTACTTTAAGGCTAAGAGGTGAAAACAGACTTCCCTGGGCTTAAACAAGAAGAATGATAGGTTTGTGAAGGTGGAAATTACTATTTGAGAGCATTCAGCTTGCTGTTTAAGTGGAAAATAGGGTGCAGGAAATAATACTTCTCTAAATATTTTCCCCAAGGCTTAGGGCAGGTACTTTGTCATGTAGTCAGATGCCTTTGATTCATCTGGAAACAAAGTTATCACCCTCGCTGAAGGTCAGACACTTATAAGAAGGGCTGAACAGCTCTGAAACTTGTAAAAAAAGTTTTTTAAGAGCTAGGCTAAAAAATACACTAGTGACTTCTGTTTCAAACAGCTCCTGCTTATAGTATTAGCCTGTAAAGTGGGGCTGACACCCACTTAGACACCAGAGAGAGAAAAACAAGTTTAAGGTGGAATCGAAAGAGGCATGAAAGATTTGCAGTCAACAGAAGTCAGTCAAATCCAGGTTATACCTGCAAGAGCTGTAAGCCCTTGGGCAAGTCACTCTTTGGGTCAAGAATAAAAATTTGTCTATTTTATAGAGGTGCCATTACTTAGGCACCATGAAATTAAAATCAGCATGGTAAAGTCATTGTTATCAACCAGTTTGCTGTTTTACTATGAATTTGTTGGAATCTGTAGTAAGATTTGACTTAAACTTGATCCAACTCTTTGAGCCCAAATTCTGGTGGTTAGTGTCAACAATACACTATGTTTAAATGTACACATTGGGGTGGCTAGCTCCTGCTCAGGCAGGAAACTGAACCAGCTTCACTTGGTTGGACCTCCAGTCCAAGTGCAGAGAGAGAACTGTTCATCTAATGCTATTTATAATCAGTAGGGGAGGAAGTGTCCCATGTAATTGGGGTACAGTGGACCGACCTAGGTTTGAGCCTTAGTTTGAGCCTTGGGCAAGTCACTGGAGTCAGAAATCTGGTTCAAGACCTGTTCTGCCTTTTCTTCACTGAGTGGCTATGGGAAAGTTGTTTAATTTTTCTGAACTTTATTTTCTTAACTTTCAGGATAATGTCTAAAGTTCCTTCCAGCTCTAGAATTGTCTCCGTAACCTTTGCCCTATGGTAAAAGATTTCAATATAATCTAAAAATTTAGCCAGAAGGTCCATTAATACTATTTTGCAGTTCGTTATAACACCATTCATATGAAATTATATCCCCTTAAACAAACCTCTTTATGTATCTAACTTAGATAATCTATTGTTGAATCTTATTACCCACTTTTTTCCATTAAATTTCATCTGGCATATGGTAGTAAGAACAGAAATGTTAATTTCTGCTGTTGGTTTCTTGACTTTGTAATTGACGTTTCTGTTGGGAAAAGATTGAAATAGGAGGTAAGGAGGCCTCAGCAACTTGTCACTTCTCAGGAGTCTTATGTCATTTTTAAGTTACCCAAAGTCATTTGTTACCTAATTTGTTACATTTATTTGTTATGTAAGGTAATTTACAATTAATTAAATGATTGGTTGTAGGGTTTTGATTGATGTCAAAACAGTTTGATGCCACACTTTTAATAGAAAAAAAGTAATAAATGGTTGTGGAATAAAATAAAATACAAAAATGTAGTAGTAAAAAGTAAATCTGTTTTTTCAGTGAGTCGCATTTCTCAAAGGAAACTTACCAATTTCTTTGAATCCTCTCTAGTCTATTCTCTGTATCTATATAAACATATTTATCCCACTTTGCTTTGTATAGCTACAACAATATAATGTAGAGGGCACATGTAGACCTACCTTCATCTTTTTTTTCCTTAATGTCTGCGTGTCATTCCATTATATAATGAACTGTAATTTATGAAACATTTAACTTGTTTCCACCCATTTGCTATTACACATAATGCTGGAATACTCATCCTTAACCTTGTACATATATTTTGTATACAAGTGGGAGTAAATCTGTAGGATAAATTCCTCAAAGTGAAGTTGTTGGTCTTGAAGGTAAGTGCATTTCAAATTTTGGTATAAATTAGTGGGCAGATTAAAAAAAAAAAAATCCTTAATACACTTCTAATGGAAACAGATGTAGTTTTAATTTACAAATCAAGTAAGTATTTAAACTCTGCCAGCATCACAAAATAGCACTCCTGATAAATTTTATTATGACTTAATAAATATTCTAGATATTAAAACATTGTTTTGGTTTTAAATAAATGAACTTCTCACTTATGGGACACCTGAGGGTGGAAATCTTCAGTATTGGGAAACCAATTAAACCTGTCAGCTACAAATGCTATATATTATTCTGATGACACCAAAGAATAAAGCATAATTTTAACAGTGTATTGGGGAGGTATTTTTATTTCTTTTAAACAATGGGAATGTCTTTAACTTTGTTTATGTAGGGCACAGACTATCATGAAGGCTCGATTAAAAGGAGCACAGACTGGTCGAAACCTCCTGAAGAAAAAATCTGATGCCTTAACTCTTCGATTTCGACAGATCCTAAAGAAGATCATAGAGGTAGAATGCACTTTGCTTGGAACAGTATTTATTTTAGGAATATGTAAGGAAAATCCAGCATGACCATTGACATTCTAATTTTTCTTTGTTATTTTAATTAATTTTTTCTTTCAAAAGTAAAAATACCATTATAAAGTAATGCATTTTACGTAGTTCATTTAATAAAATCCAAACTCCTTACTCTTGCCCACTAGCTCCACTTGATCTAATTTGGCCCCTGCCTGCCTCTCTGACCGTATTTGCCACATTCTTCCTAATATCCTTCTCCAGGGCCTTTGCACCAGCACTTTCTTTTGCCTGAAGTGCTCTTTCCCCAAAACTTCTGTAACTGGCTCCTCTGGTCATTATGGTCTCTTCAGAGAGGCCAACCCTGATCACCCAATCTGAAGTGACCGCCATATTTACTTCTGTCACGTTTCCTTATTTTATTTTTATCGTAGCATGTCCTGCAGCATATTTTCTTGCTTGAATGTTTACCCCCACTAGAGAAGGTAAGGTCCATGAGAGGGGACTTCCTCTTTTCAGCAAAGTATTTTCAGTGCCTAGAACACTGCTGGCACATAATACATTTTAACTCAATGCTTTTTGGATAAATGATGTGTAAATACAGAAGTATATAAAAAAAGTGAAGGTTCTTTCCTATATGCCCCACTCCCCAACTATCCTTTCAGTTCCCAAAGGAGTTCTTTGGGACATTTTGGCTTGTATCTTTTCCATATTCCCATATTCATATTCTCTCCCCCCCATCTCCCTCTTCCTTTCCCTCCTCCCCCTCTTCCCACTCCCCCCTTCCCTTGCTTAATCTCTCGATCTCTTTGGTAGCACGTAGCAAAAGTATTGCTTTTGTAAAGCATGTACCAAGTATATCATGTGTGGCTGTATGTCCAGGACATACAGATTTTTTAGTAACAAACATGCAGCTATTTTATACCTCTGTCTATGGCTGTGTCTGTGTATCTATATCTGTAACATTTTCTGCCCCATTCCCCCTTTCTTCCCTCCATGGCAGAATATGGACAGCTTTCCATGTCAATACATACAGATCAGTTTCATTCTTTGTAATAGCTGCATGGTTCTCCATTGAATGGATGATGGAATTTAACATTTTTCTATTGATGGGTGTGTAGTGTTACCATTTTGTGGGGGAGGGTACACTTAAACTCTTACGTGTATGTCTCCTAGCATTTCTTTGTAAAAGAATCTTAGAATCTCAAGAATCATTTAAATGATTGATAGATAACTGCCAAATTGCCCTCCAAATTGTTACACCAATTTACATCCTATCAATTGATTAGTGAGAGGACCTAGTTTCTTAATTTAATTGGGCATTATTTGCCAATCTCTTGGGCTAAAGTTGCTGTCTTATTTTAATGTGTATTACTTTTGATTATTGGGTTGACTATTTTTTCATGTTTACTGGTAATTTGATTTTCTTCGTAAATTTCTTAATTTTTTTTTTTTTTGTAGAAGTTCTAATATATATTCAAGTTAGGATATAAAATGCTAAAAATATTTTCTTAAGTCTAACTTTCTTAAAAATATTTTATTTTGACTGAATTCCTTAGTCTTTTCCTTTATATAGCTTCTGGGTAACATATTTAGAAAGCCCTAAAAAGATTAGGAAAATATTTTATATTTTATTTTATAGTTGTTTTTTTTTTAAAAAAAAACAAACCTTTATCTTTAATAATTTCTGGATTTGGAGGGGATTGATATGAGAAGATAGGGATTTAGATGTATCATTTTATAAATGGATCACCAGTTGAATGGTCTCTTTACACAACTATATAGTGTAGTTCTGGGGCTGTTTTGAACTCTATTCTGTTTCATTGACTTACCTGTCCCTGTACCAGATTTATTTTTTTACCGTAGTTTTACATTTTTAATACTTGGTAAGGTAACTCTCTACCCACCTGTCCTAGTTATTCTCTTTCAAAAAAAATTGGATATTCTCAAACATTAAATATTCCAGATTTATTTCATAATCACTATGCCATTAGGATTTTGACTGCACTGCAGTGTATTTAGGAGATTAATTTGAGCAAATTGTCATGGACCCATCCAGAAACAACATAGTCCTGCAGTAAAGATTCAATTTTCTGTTTCTTAATGTCTTTATTTTGATGTTTTGAGGATAAAACTCATGGTTTTGCACCACTGTTAGAGACCATAACCAAAGCTGTTCAGGCAAAATTGGAAAGTTTTATCATTATCAAATCAATGTTCACACGTACATCTGACACAAAATACTGAAGATTATTAAGGGAACATGATTATATGATTTTTCCATGAAAAAACCTGTTTGAATTGGCTATTGGTTTATGCTTTTCCAGACTAAAATGTTGATGGGTGAAGTGATGAGAGAAGCTGCCTTTTCTCTTGCTGAGGCCAAGTTCACGGCAGGAGATTTCAGGTAAGAAGACTAAGGGGGGTGTTTTGAAAAATTATAGTTCTTTGATGTTTATAATTTCATTTAGAAGTCATTTTAAGTTAAAAAAATAAACATTCATGACAGTTGATATACTAGTAATAATAAGGAAGGACACTTTTAACCTATCATCTTAACACCATGGTCTTTGTTGCCGCCCACATGTATCTGTTACACAGTTTCAGGCACAGGATACCTAATATTTTACAGTCCATTTTCATTTAACATTGTATCATATACATTTTCCTTGTTTTCACTTAACTGCATAATCTTTTCTCTCGATGTATCATAATTCATTAAGTTTTTGTCCTAGTGGTGGAACTTTGGGTTGATTTTCAGTGTTCTAGAATATTAGGTAAGTGCCATGAACATCTTCATGCATAAATATTTTTGTCTATGGAATTATTTCCTTAGGATAAATTTTTGAGGATGGAATTGGCTGTTTAAGGGGCATGAATTTTACGGTTTTTATTATGTCATATATGCTTTACAAAGCATACAAAGTGGTTTAGCTATTGCTTTACAGTAATTTTGCCAATTTTTAAAACTTTTTAAAAAGATTTTGTTTATTTAATTTTTAGAGAGAGGGGAAGGCAGGGAGAAAGAGGAGGAGAGAAACGTCGATGTGTGAGAGAAACAGCAATCGGTTGCCTCTCACACACCCCTAGGCAGGGGCCTGGCCCGCAACCCAGGCAGGTGCCCTTGACTGGGAATTAAATCAGTGACTTCTCGGTTCACAGGCCGGCACTCAATCCACTCCCACACCAACCAGGGCAGGGGTTTTGCCAATTTACATGTTATGTGATTCCCCAAGTAAGCCTGTGAAGTAGACCAGGTAAGCAGTTATTCTCAGTTTGAGTTCAGTGCTTTCTTGAGTCAAATGGCTATTTAGGGGCAGAGGTGGAAGTTACTTTCAGGGGTTTTGATTTTAGTCTTATTTACCCAATGGCACAATTCCTTTATTCTTAGTTTTTATTATCTATCTAGGAGCATTACGTGCTGGGCAGGTCTCACAGCCTGCGAGGCATGAGGCCCGTGGAGTAGCAGACTGCGTTTGCCAGTGTTGGTGGGAATAACAACTTGCATTGACTTTTCCAGCAGGGAGGGCATCAGTAGTGTGTAAGTGCTATGTGAATGTTTTAGGGTGGTTATGGGGAAAATACTATTTAATGATGAGTCAGACAAAGCCAGGTGGAATTTAGATAAGTTCTAGGATAAAGGGCTTCTACTCCTGCTTAGCCACATTTAGAAAGTTTAAACAACAAACCCAAAAGGAAGGAAAGTTTTTTCTAAATTACATAAGCAGAATGAAAATCCCACATATCTGACTGAAAACTCAAGCAATCCACATACTTTAAAATAATTCTTTATTGTTTTCTTCGGGCTAATTTTTTTAATATTGTTCATTCTTTGCTCTCTGCAGCCCTCCTCTGGAAGCAGTGATTTTTCTCTTTTTCTGGAAAAAGACAATTATCAAAACACACTTAATTGTGAGATCTCACTCTTGTTGAAATTAAGCAGTGGGTCCTGGTAGGTTTATTTCTCACTCTAAAAACTTAACCACGGCCCTTTCCCCTTGCAGCACCACCGTCATCCAGAACGTGAATAAAGCCCAAGTGAAGATTCGCGCAAAGAAAGATAACGTAGCAGGTAACTTTTCAACCCTTTAGAGCCCTTGGGGGAGAAAAGGTGACATTTTAAAATTAACCTGTTTATACAGCAAGATCTTGACATCCCCATTAATCTTTTCTACTCAGAACAAGTTGATTGGCTTTACATGTTAACCCACTGTAACTGGTGATTGCGGGGGGCGGGGGGGGGGTTGGGTAGGGGAAACAGGGAGTTGTTCAATGGGTATAAAGTTAGGGTAATAGAAGAACACATTGTAGAGATATGTTGTACTGTATAGTGCCAATAGAATAATACGGTGTTGTGCACTCAAAAACTTGTAGGAGGGGTAATCTAGTGCTGAGAGTTCTTAACACACACATACACAGGAAAAGGGACACGCAAAATTTTAGGAGATGATAGATACATTTATTACCATGGGTATACCATGTATACATTAAATACGTGCAGTTTTTTGGGGGTATATTAAATATACCTCAAAGCTGAAAGGAAAAAAACCCACTATAACAACCATCTCCTTTATTACTCAGGCTAATTTAATTTTTGAATAGGATTGAACACTTAAGAAGGCAGGTTCCTAAATTTATCCTTGAACCCAGTTATAATTCCAGACAGCCTGTTGACTTTTTTTGTGTTTAACAGGTGTTACTTTGCCAGTATTTGAACACTATCATGAAGGAACTGACAGTAAGTGTGTGTCTCTGGGTTCTCCTGATTCCTTTTTAAATGAATTTTGTTCTGGAAAATGGTGCCAGATTGAGTTGGGTGGTTCCAGTGTTAGAGCCTAACATTTAAAAAAAATACAAGCTCATGATCCTTCTTTGCGTATGAATCCAGGGATTAGACTTCAGTTTTCTTTCTGCATAAACAACACCCATAATGCATCGTTTATAATTTCCAGTTCGGGTTTCTTTAAAGTAGAATAAGATCTTGGACACGGACGTAATCTGAATGCTGAATCACCCTAGATTTTACCAGTCTGCTCGTCATTTCTTTAGTAATTACCTGACCCTTTCCTAATTTGACAGCATTTTTGGAGTGGCACAACATCTTTATCGAGTCTGTCCAAAGCAGTAAGGTTTTTCGTTTTTTATAGAAGCAACAGTATTCTTCCTGTGGCACTCATGCTTCATTGGTTCACATACAGTATTTTGTATGGCTTGAATAAAGAAGAGCATTCTGGAGAGTCTGCTGTTGACAGGGAGTGTCACTGTGCTGGGCATCAGGCAGCATGGCCTCCAAAGGGAACGGGCCCATTGGTTAACCCTGCAATCCAGGGAAGCGAGGGCGGGGTAACAAGTTCTGCTGTAGTTTGAATAGGATCCTGGTGGAAGACCGTTCAGCATCATGCCCTGAAATGTTTGGGGAGTAAGATGGGCACTTCATGTTTGCATTTAACAGAGATGGTGAATTTGTTTTTACATTTTGACATTGTCCTGATTTATCTCTTGGGGACTTTCAGGGGGAAGATGATGATTCTACAATTACAAATGTTGTCTGACTGGTTCTTTCAGGTTATGAACTGACCGGTTTAGCCCGAGGAGGGGAACAGTTGGCTAAATTAAAGAGGAATTATGCCAAAGCAGTGGAACTACTGGTGGAACTAGCCTCGCTGCAGGTAGGCAGGGAATTGCTGGAGAACGCCTGTTATTGGATTTTTAATATTTGAGTGTGGAAATTGAGATCTTGACTCAGCGCCTACTGCACTCAGTACTTTGAGCTGTTTCCATGACCCTCTGTGAAACAAGCCGAAGATGTTTTGATTTCTGAAATAAATTGGTGGCTTTTGCAAAAAGTCCCCAATTTTTGTTATTAATAAATGAGCAATGATGTAGTTTCACTCTGCTAGATGAGGACAGCAACAGTCAGTGCTAGATTTAGATGGAAATGTAACATGGTTTACACATGAAAGCTGGTTTTTTCCCTTTGTGGCTAGTTAATGTATATCTAGGTCATTCGTGCATGATTCTCTTCTCTTGCCATTTTTATAACTTCAGGTAAGTCTGAAATAAATTACAATAGCATGAAGATAGTGTTAGCCCTATGAAAATCTCACAAGCATCTTTTTTTAATGTGTTGAAAAGGAGTAGTCTTGGTTTCCAGGTGTTCTCTACAAGTGTTGTCTGAGGGGAGCCAGGTGAGCAGGGCATGATTAGGAAGATTTGTACTTACATTACTTATCCTCTTATTTCAGACTTCCTTTGTTACTTTGGATGAAGCCATTAAGATAACCAACAGGCGTGTAAATGCCATTGAACATGGTGAGTGCAAGCTGCTGTGAAGCTCTTTGTTCATCCACTGTCCCTGCCTCCACTTTTGTAACACAACTGCTAGGATCAGGCACTGACCACCAGGTGGGTAAGGCATTGCCCACAGCGGGTAGTACAGCATTGCTGAATGCAGCAGTTATTAAGGCCTTCGATAGAAGGAGGTGTATGATTTGGGGGGTGGGGAGTTAGATGAGAGTGAGGAGTTCAAAATGATGGAATATTTTACTCATTTCCAGTTACACATGAAAAAAGGGTTAGAAACTATGTCTCAGGAGCACTAGTGTTTTCTTTAGTTCTTTCCAGTGATTGAGTGAACGATGCATCTTTTTGAACACATTACATACTTAACTTGAAATCCTTCTCCCTTTGGCCTATATCCTGTAGAAAGTGTCCTCCTTGATTCCTGAAAATAAGTTTTCCCATTTGATGCATTATTTTTCGTCTATTTCATGATTTTAAAACTATGCTTAGTATTGATATACTACTTTTTAAGACACTCAGTTTTCATTAAAGGAACATTTTTTCCATTTCAAGGTAAGAAAGGAATAAAATTTGAATAGCAAAGAAATTATTTTGCTCGGGCTCTATTAGTATTAAAGAGGAAGTTATCTCATTTTTTAAAAACTTAAAACACACTTCCTAACTGCTTGCTAGTGCCAGCCCTTGCATGTAGAATTGCAAGGAAAACAAAATGGATAAGGTAATTGTTCTGACTCTAGAGCAGTTCACATTCTAGAATGAGAATAGGCAAATTCTAGGTAAAATAGAACCTTATGACTGACACGAATCTCAACTCACTGTCTTCTGTGCCTCCATGCTCCACTGTTTGACAGTGGATTACTGCATATTTAAAATAACACTTGTAGTTCAATGTTATATACTCTCATAAATTCAGAGTCATATATATTGTGGTCTAATATTCATCTACAGAAAAGACAAAGTATTTAAAACAATTACTCTAGGATGGTTGGATTATACTTTGTTTTTATGTTTGTTTTCTAAATTTTCTGCATTAAATGTACGTTGGTTTTATAAATAGAAAAAAATAAGTAACTGGTATACAAATGAGCATTGGCAATTTGAAAAAAGGAGGTTTAAAGTTCTCACATGTATATGTATTTTTTTAACCCTAGTCATCATTCCCCGGATTGAACGTACCCTCGCTTATATCATCACAGAGCTGGATGAGAGAGAGCGAGAAGAGTTCTATAGGTTTGTTGAAATCGGCAGCTACTGCTCATTTTGTTTTCCTTATTCCAAAGTCTGTTTTCTGAAATTCTTGTTGGCTCTTGTTCCTTAGAATCAGCACAGCTTGTGTTTTATTCTATAAGAAGAAATAATATTGCCGACAGCTGTGAAGACAGATGTATGCTTAGTTTTGCACATACCTAAAGCATGGCATCTCCAAAAATTTTGGTCAGGCTATTAGTACTTATTTTAAAAAATGAAACATTTAGATTGGGTGTCTCCCACATAAAAAAAAGCTGAAATTAGTCACTCAGAATGCATTGTATGTTAAGTATGTTCCAGAAGGGGACATTACATAACAGTGTTAATCATATCACTAGAGAATTGGTACAGGGCTTAGAAATGATGCATGTACATCCTTGGTTATGAACATTTAGAGCTAGTAAGGACAGTAAGTACTAAATAGGTGGCGTGCAGGGTCACTGTGCCAAGTTCACAGAAATGGGAGACAGGTGAAGGCAGGCGTAGTCAGGGCAGACACGGCCATCTTGAACTTTGAGTAGTGTATGATTTATAATCTTAATTATCAAAGGTTAATGTCTGTCCTTAAGTGATGTTCAGGGTTGTGGTGATCCAAATGGAATGTTCCAAAATTTTATAAATATCTGAATGCTCAAAATCTGTCCCATCATCAGGGAATGGATTTCGAAGTTTATTAACCTTGGGATAGAAGATTTTAAAATCAGTTATTAGCTTAAAATATGCGTATTCGACCTCAAATCTTTTTAAGTGGGCTGTAAATTACTGAAATCGAAATTAAAATTTTGTTGTAATTTATTATCCTTCTTACAAAACTAGAAGCAAATCTACTTCAGTACTGAAACAGCATCCAGAAAATTCCTTTATTTTACAGATTAAAGAAAATACAGGAGAAGAAAAAGATTCTCAAGGAAAAGTCTGAGAGGGACTTGGAGCAACGGAGGGCAGCTGGAGAGGTGATGGAGCCTGCTAATCTTCTGGCTGAAGAGAAGGATGAGGATCTTCTGTTTGAATAACCTTTCCTGCTCCGGTTCTGGCAGAAATCCTAACGTGGCACCAAATTAGTTCATGGTGTGTAGGGTTGGTTTGTGTAACTTTTTTTTTGGCCTAATAATTTCACTGGTTGTAAAATTTCCCTGGATGTCCATTTATGGGATTACCTTTGCAGAATCCTAATTTAGCAACCATTTATCATCAAGGATGTGATTTGGATAACCTGCCCAGGAACTTGTACGGAGTTTATTCTGCAGAAGTGTCACCCTACTCCATCTGCATCTGTGTTACAAGTGATCGGCTTACCAAGCACATTAGGAAATTCCCCTTAGGAGCCAGCAGTGGTCTCAGGCCAGCTACTGCTGGAGCTCCCTTTGCCCCTCCCCACTCACACACCTTGGTGCTGTTGTCTGTGACCGCTGCAGCCATCCTTGTGTTACTGTGGTACTACTCTCCTCAAGCTTTATGAAAGCCCTCACTCATTTTCCTTTGCATGACAGGTCTCTGTTCTCTCTATCATGGAGCAGTTTTGCCAATTTGAATGTAACTATGGTATAAACAGTAACATCATTTAAAACGAGTTGTTCCTTTTTTTTAAAAAAAAGACAACAGCTAAGGAAACAGAACCTGTATCTGTGCCTATAGAGGGCATTCCTCCATAGTGAGTAATACGTCAACTATTTGGTTTTTCACCCAGAAGTTCCAGTGGACTTAACTTCAGGCAAAAACATGAAGCCAGGATGGTCATTAGAAATGTTGAAACCCTGATGGCAGAGGATGTTAATACAGGAAGAGAGAGTACTCAGTGGCTTTCTTTATTTGAAATATAATTTTACTTTTTATTTTTACAATGCAGTGTGCAGTATGACATCTTGAAATAACAAGAGTGCAGATACAGGATGAGCATACAAAGGAGGATTAAAAATAAATGTCAGAAAGGTTACCTTATTAAGGCTAAATCCCTGGTTCGTATTTTCCACACACATTCATAAAATTACATTCAAATTATTCCTTATCAATACTTACTCCTTAGACCATGAAAAATGGGAAGAAATAATCCAGACATTAAGATTTTCATAGAAAGCAAATCTGGATTAGTCTAAATGCTATTCTCCTTTCCATTTGTTCTGAGTTAAAGTTTAGTAAAGGAAGATATTTCCTTATTTGAACTACCATGTGCACTGTAGTAGCTACGGGTATCATTCCTGTAAGTGGTTAAGACCTCCCTACATTAGGGTCTCCAGTCAGAACCAGAGGAAACAGACCTGGCCACAGCGGTTTGATGACTAGGTAGGTAACCTGCAAGGGCGTTCTCCGTTTTGTTTCAAGAAGTCAGCAACACTCTGTTCACTCTGTTCAGGGCCTGGGTGGGGTGTCAGCACACCCATGGCGCTGAGACTAACACTCCTATCCCTCTCCCTACACTACCACTGCCCTTGCTGATGAGGAAAGAAAGAATGTAAGACTTCACTGACCCCAAACACATCTCGTCACCTTAGACTTCTTAAAGTGTACGACGGCATGGCATGTGCCTTGGGAGGGGATTTGCTTGTGAAAGCCATGTCTGAGTCTTACGGCATATGGCCGAGTATGGATCTACCCGCAGGTTATTGAGGGGACAGCACGACAGCCACTACTGACACTCCTGGAAATCTCATTCTAACGCAATTCCGACTCCAAAAGTTGAGACCTTAGGTTTGAAAACAGCTGTCAGAACTCCACTGTCTACCACAGACTACCTTTCGTTCCTGAGGAGAAAGTAAACTGCAAGACTGAAAAGATGAAGTGCTTATATTCCTTGGTTTTCGATGCTGAATATTAGTGTGAGCTTTGCATTTCCTGCTATAAAGTACTTGGAGTGTCTCAGACCTGAAGAGACAGTATGTACAGCATTCCTTCCCTTAACCCAGGAATGTTACTTTCTTCCCAATAAACATTAAAGCATTTCCACATAAGACGCACTCTGCAGCCAACTTCAAGGCCATGCAAATTTGAACAGAAAAACGCAACTTACAAACTGTTTACATTTGTTCAAATAAAATTAAGTAGAAGAGAAAATAATCACATACACAACACTGAGACAAACCACTAATTAAAAACAACTGCTTACGTTAAGTTATGTGACAACTCAGTATTATTCCAGTGTTTCACTTTGAGAACAGGAAATGCTTAGCTAAAGTCACTATAAAAACAAAATGAAGATATTCACATTTGAGGTTGTCTGTCACATCACACCATCCCTAAAGGCTTGAAAAGACTACAAATTACCTTTCCATGCCAGTGTGAAAATCCCATTAGCTTAAACATTTTGGATTTAGCAAGCTCTTGCATTATGGTCACAAGGAACAGAACTTGTTAGGATAAAAACCTCTTTATATGTGCTTAACCACCCCGCTCCCCCATGTTCTTTCCTAAAATGTTCAAATGACTTTCAGGTTATCCTTTCCTTCTGGTCTCAAAGTCAACTGTTATAGTATTTCCCTCAGATATAATTTTAATACAATGCTGAACAAGTGTTATCAATGACCATTTGCCAATCTATTATATTAGTCTACAGTACAGCAGCTATATTCATCACAGAATTCCAGTTTATTAACTATATATAACACAGTCATCAAATTATACTGTGCCCCTAATATAAAAATGCAAAAACTGTCAAATGTTCTGTGCCCTCTCATGTATATAAAATAACTGCATCATGAGAAAGAAACTTAACAGTCTCCACAGTTTACATGAACATCTACCATTCATAAAAATGTAACATACATTCTATTGTACTATGCAGAGCATAGAAAGGAAGCAAGGTTATCTAACTAGCTGTGACAATTTAAGGACAAAATTCAGAAAATCATTAAAAAGACCAGGATGCTGTATATGCTTAAACTAGATCAGAATCTGTTGAATGTGCAGTAAAGTCTGATAGACAAAGTTTGAGCTAAAAACTGGTGCTTCTAAATGGAATGTTTTTAAAAGACATACAAATGAATTCAAGCCTAACAGAGTGGCTCCAGACCAAAGTGGCACCATAAAAATTTTTTAAAATCATTATAAACAATACTTAATGTATTTTTTGTTGTAAGTTACTAAAATCTGATGAGTATATTATACTTGCAGCACATGAGAAAAATCTAAGCGAAATATTTCTGACGACTAAACCAGTTTTCTAACCAAATAAAGTCTTGCCCAGTACACAGAAGCATGGTCCCTACCCCCCGCCCCAATTCCCATGAAGTCATTTAAGTTAACTGTTAAATAACATCAATATTTATAATTATGTGAGACATGGACTGTTGTGTATATACACACACTTCATCAAAATATGACTAGCCAGAAAAGATTTAGGTGAAAATAATAGGTTTTTACATAGACAAAATGGAACTGCTGTTGAAAGCATCCATTTGGAATCCCCGAATGAGGCAAGAACCTAAAGCCATAGAGAATAAAGACTGCTGTGCACAAATTACTTACGGGGATTTTCTCCCTAGTTTGAGATCTTAGAACAGGTCTACACTGCCTGCCACCTTACCCTTCGAGTCTTGCTGAAGTATCAGGTTTACCTTCGTACTGGCAGTTCGCCAGATCAAGTCCACACATGCCACAGAAAGGGCTTCCTTCACCTCAGCCAGGTGGATGGCACCCACTGAGGTTCAGTATCAAGTTTGTTAATTAACCTAAGCAATTCCTGATAGGCTTTATCAAGGTCTGAATTCACAATTGCCGTGTCAAAGTAGTGACCATTGTTCTGCTCCATCTCTCTAGTTTTCTCAATGATTTCTCTCAGCTCTTCTGGCTGTAAAGAGGAGATAAAAACTGTGAGGTTAACTCCATTCCTTACCAAAGTACATGTGTCAGATATGGTCAAAGAACAAGAAATAACCTTACACTGCTTTCCTTCTCTTGAAACACTCGGCCTCAGGAGCCCCTTCCTCACCCTGTCACAGCCGCGGCGGCCCTTTGCTTTGGCGCCCTCAGGACCCATATTGTGAATCACCTGGGACTCAGTATAACCCATTTATACTGTGATTTAAGCTTTTAGGTTTTCCACATAATTCTGTCTTGTCTTATCCACAGGACTCAATGCTTCAAGGGTATAGACTTTGAGTTCCCCACAGACACTCATTTTTTAAATATTTTAGGGCATCATAACCTCTTCCTAAAAAGAGTATTTTCTGTATCACAGAGAGAACCTTTCCGGTTGGAGCAAGGGTGCAGGACCCAAAGCACCATCTATTTGAGCTCCCTGTTCTTTATATTTATTGCAGAGTTAGGCAGGGCAAACCTCATTGGGATAGCAAAGGATCAATAGAATGGGTATCTTTTTAATGAAAACATTGCTTGTCAACATGATTTAATAATCAAATACAGCCAATCCTGGAACAAAATGGGTTTGAACTACACAGGTCTACCTGTGTATATATGCAGATTTCTTTCAATAAATACCTGGAACTGTTTTCAGTCTGCAGCTGGGAGTCCATGGATGCAGAAGGCCAACTGTATACATTGACCAATACTTGATTCATTCATTCAGTCCATAGTAGGCTATAATGAACACCTCAGTAGCTCCTAAGACTAATACATTTCTATCGCTACAATTACTTCAGTAAACCTCATTCCCCTCACTTCGGCAACATTATGCAGTAAGTGATCAGGTTTGCATGATATACACCATTTTATACAGGGAACTTAAGCATCTGTGGATTTTGGAATCTGCAAGGGGTCCTTAAACAATCTTGCACAGATACCACAGGTAGTTAAGTTTTTGGGGAGTCAAAAACCTATGTGGGATTTTTGACTGCAGAGGGGTCAGTGCCCCTAAACCCTACTGTTTGAGTCAACTGTGTGTGTGTGTGTGTGTGTGTATATATATAAATGTGTATATATTTTGGGGACACATTCAGCCTAATACGTTAAATTGCTACTCTGTCTTCAATACACAAAGGAGGTCTTTAAGATGTAGACAGTATCCTAAGAAGAGCCTGGGAAGTGAAACAGAGCAGACTACTTTAAAATACTGGGTAAGGGAAACAAGTGTTTCACACAGAGCAAAGGTGGCAAGGCTATGTGCTTCTTTCTGATTTGATTATCAGCCACAATTGTCTAAGAAAGTGAAGCTCCCTCCAAATCACCCCTGTCAATAAAGAACCAATTAAACTCAAGTCCAAATGTCTCAGGTATAAAAGTCACTTACCAATACTATAATGGACCCACAATACAAGACAATTTATATCATTCAACTGGGTGAACTTCCGTAACAGTAGGAAAACATACTAAAAATATGAGAGCTCTGGCTTGTCCTGAGGCAGTTCCTTGTGTAGTTCTCTAATTTTCATTCTGGAATGCTGTACATCTGGCTATGGTACACAGAATCCTTTGTTCCTTAACAAGGAGTCCCCTAACAGGGACTCTGCTACCCTATTGTAACTGACCACACTGACATTCTCACTAAAACTTAGTGTCAACTCAAAGCTCAAGGTTACTGAAAGACATTCAAGAACTCAAAATAGAATCTAATCTTTGCGGTGCTAGAGTTGAAATGTAAATGTTAAGCCCCACCTCTTACACAGATTCACATGAATATCCAATCCATTTAGTTCTTTATCAAATTTAAGACATTTCACTTTTTGCCAACATGGTTTGTATCATTTATTTTGTTTTAATTTCATCTTATTTTTCAAATTATAAATCATGGCTAAAATGAAACAAAATGTTTTTGCTTAAAAAATTTCAGGCTGACAAAATTGACGGATAGGGAAAAGTGACTGTAAGAGTTCTTACTATCAGTTTACCACTCTCAAGTCCTTCTAACAGAACAGATTCCGAGATTCGAAGTACACTCAGATGCCTGTTTACACTTTGCATCCAAAGAAACACCTTCAATTTCCCGGCTAGAACAATTTCACTGACTTAAAACTGATGATTTGTTTTTATTCAACTTTTCTATTTTGTAAGTGATAAAGCACTACTGGAAATACCAAAGGAACTAAAACACAAGTGAAATTAAAAGGTGATCAGATACATCACCCTCTACTCAACAATTGCAGAATATATATTCTTACTGGTGTGCACGGAACATATACCAAGGTAGGACATATGTTGGGCTATAAGATAAGATTTGACAAATTTGAAAGAATGAAATCTTACAGAGTATGTTCTTTGACCACAATGGAAGTAGAAATTGATAAAATATTTTTTAAAATCTCCTAACGTGAAATTATATACTTCTAAATAACCCATGGATTACAGAATAAAATGACACAGGGAATCAGAAAGTATTCGAACAAAATAATAATGAAAACTATAACTCCAAAATCTATAGGGTGCAATTAAAGAACCCCTTAGAGAGACACTTGTAACTTCATATTAGAAAAGAAGACTTAAAACTCATCTAAGTTTTCTTCAGACAGTAGAGCAAGTACACATTATGCCACAGTAATTATAAAGAATAAATATAAGTCAATTAAGAGAAAACAGACAAAAAATATAGACAATTAACAAAGACAAATGTCCTCAACTTAATTCTTTTTCTAAAGGGTTTGGTTATTCCTTTTAATTTCCATATAAATTTTAAAATCTTTTCAATTTCTACAATAAAGCCTGCTGATATTTTTTTTAACAGTAACAGCTTTTTTGATATAGAATTCATTTACCCATTCACCCCTTTAAAATGTACAGTTAACAAGTTTTAGTATAGTCACAGAGTTGTGAAATCAGCACGACCGTTCAATTTTAGGACATTTTCATCACTCCCTTGCACCCTCCAAACTACACCTTAGCAGCCACTCTTCATTATCTACCAGCTCCCGGCCCTGGGCAACCACTAGTCTACTTAGTTCTCTGCAGATTTGCCGACCCTGGACAGTCCATAAAATGGAATCATATAGTATCTGGTCTATGTTGTTCTGTGTATCAGTACTTCATTCCCTTTTATGACTACTTTTCAAGACTTAGAATAAAACTACAGTAATCAAGATAGTGCAATATTAGCACAAATACGAAAGAGTCCAGAAATAATCCACAGTCTACCCTGCATAACACCCCCCCCCCCCCCCCCGGCAACCAACATATTTGGTCAGGTCATTTTTAACAAAGGTGACAATGTAATTCAAAGGGAGAAAGAGTAGTTACTAGTCTTTTTCAAGAAATGATTCTAGAGCCATGGGATATTCACATGTGATTTAAAAAACAAAAATCATTAACCATAAGAAAAATGAAAAAGTATACTTCACTAAGATTAAACATTTCTGGTCTTCAAAAAAAAAATCATTAAAAAGATAAAGACTTTGAGAAAATATTTATATCCAGATATAAAAAAGAAAAATAACCAAAAAATAAGATTTGAGATGATTCACAAAAAAAATGCCTAAATGACTATGTGAAAAGATGCTATCACCAATCATCAGGAAAATACATAATGATAACACTTCAAACCTATCAGAACTAAAAAATGGTTCCAAACCAACAACAGCAAAAGTTGGTAAACATGTGGAGCATATGAAACCAAAGTGGGAGCACAATATGGCAAGCTGTTTTTTAAAAAGTTCGGCAGTTTTTATACTTAGACATGTACTTAGCATTTGCTCCAGCAATTCAAGAGGGTGAAAACATATGTGCACCAAAAGAGTATCTAAGTTTAGGACAGTTTTGGTTACACTAGCGAAACACTGAAAACACACAAATGGTTTTTAACTGGTGAAAAACCACATTGTGAAATATTTAGATCATGGTATATGAGGTCTGTCTGGAAAAAGTCCAGCCGTTGTTAATATAACGAGAATGGTTTGCGTGACATAGATGTAACCTGGCAGCCAAGAAGAGAGGACTGGAATGTGCATGCATGAACAATGACAACTTCGCTATACTAGTCAGTGGGGGCTTTAGATGCCATTTAGTGAGCCATGGGTACTGTGTGGTCACTGTATTCAAAATGACTGAGCGAGTAGAGCAACAAATCTGCACCACATTTTGTGTTAAGATTGAACATTCCTCCACACAGAAACTATGTCGATGATTCAGAAGGCCAAGGTATGGGCAAAAAGTAATTGACAGCTTCATCAAAACAACACGCCCACTCATGCATCACGTCTCCTGCAGAGTTTTTTGGTGAAACATTAAATCGCCCAGGTGAATCAGCTCCCCACAGCCCAGATTTGGTGCCCTGAGACTTCTGGGTTTTCCCAAAACAAAAATCACCTTTGAAAGGGAAGAGATTTCAGACCTTTGATGAGATTCAGGAAAATACAACAGGGCAGCTGATTGCGACTGGGAGAACTGCGTGAGGTCCCAAGATGCCTACTTTGAATGAGACTGAGGTGTCATTGTCCTATGTACAATGTGCCTTGTATATTCTTCAATAAATGTCTCTATTTTTCATTATTACATTCTGGACAGGCCTCATATATAGCACTTAGCAATAAGAAGCCGCAAACTACAGTTAGATGCAACACAGACTAATCTCGAAACATACTAGTCAAGAGCCAGATGTAAACTTACACATAATGTGTGATTCTATTCACATTAACTTCTAGAACAGACAAATCTATAGTGACATAAAGCGAATTAATAGATGACTAAGGAAGAACAGAGGGGAAGCATCTTTAAAGGGGGTGAGAGAGTTTTTTGGAGTGATGAAAATGCTTTAAATCTTGATTGGCATGGTACTTACACAGTATGCATTTTGCTGAAACTCACTGACTATGTAACTAAAACATAAGCATTTTATTTATGTAAGTAACCTCAATAAAGCTGATTTTTAAAAATCAGAAAATTCTAATTAGAAAATCAAGCATATTGTATATTGTTAAAACATCTGGGTAATGGTTAAGTCCATGCTTTAAATATATGTATAATTGGTATCTTTCTAGACTTCACTCAATTTGGGATAAATAATTCAATATAAAGTAGGTAAAAAGTTCCACTGGAGACCTGTCAGAGGCCACTAACCAAAAGAAAGTTATTTAACATGTTTTGGAACGGTACATGGCCCTGAGCATGATACTGAATCCTTGCAGAAGAAGAATAACCTAACTAAAAAAGAGTGTATGTGTTCAGAAATAGAAAATAAGGCTGAACAAGTAGAATGGAGTTCACTGGTCCTTAAGGTGCATCCCTTTCCTTGAACAACCATGAAGTCTTTGTTTACCAAAGTGGTTACTGGCCACTAAGTTTCATAGAGTATTAATCTTGTTTTCCTTATTATATGTTGTGATGCTTCTCAAGAACAGCAAGCAACCATGTCTTATATTTCTTCTATACCATCCAAGGGCTAAGGACAACAAATATTCTGACCTCACTTATTTATGAACTTACAATGTGTTGCAAAAAATAAAAAAGAGGTGAAACACTACTTGAACCAGCTAGCCTACCTAGCCTAAACATTACGTTCAACATTTGGGGTGTCAAAGTCCCTGATGTCTCTAGCCTAAGACACCGAAAAATACTACCTCTCCATATTTACAGTTTGAATAGGAAATGCAAATCGATCTAGAGTGAAAAAAGGTATCCTGAGGCAGAAGAAGGAGAGCTTTTGGCTGTGGTAAACAATCAGGAATCAAAGGCAAGGTGTGTTGTTATGCTTTGAATGACTTTTAAAGAGATTCAGAGACATAGCAAATGAAATGAAGTCTGAGTGATTCCTCTTAAATAGAAATAGTTATAAAATCAGCAAAACCCAAGAAGAGTATTTGTTACTCTGACATAGCAACTCACATGAGTTTTCATTTCCCACATTTCAATAAAAAGCCAATGCTTTCGGATTATCAGTAAATTCTCATTGAATTATTAATAATGATTAGTATAATATGGACCTCAATCATGTCCAGCATCTAAAATATTTTTCAAAGTTTTCCACTTCAGATCATATGAGAAGACCAAAGGGAGCAGACAGACTGAACATAAAATTTCAATGAGAAGAAAGAGAAAAACAAAAACATTAAATATTGGCTGGCTCCCTGCATGCGCAGAGCATCTCTACAGAGAACAGTGGGCAATCGCTAAGAATCCGAAGAGTCCATTTTTTGTGTGTGTGGGATGTCACATAATCTCTGCTGGAAATAACATACACTCATGTTAAGAAGATTAAGGAAATGTTAGGGAATGCCAAAGCTACCATACATATGGGGTCACAACAGGGAATGTGCAGGGAACAAGAGAAGCTGCCTCCTTTGGAGAACTACCACAGTCCAACCAGAGGCAATTGGCAACTGGCAACTGGCAATTTTGGGGAAAAGGTGATGACAGCACGAATAATCAGTGTGACAGCTCAAGCTGATGTAGCTTTTAAGGACTGTGACATATTAGGCCATGACTCATGTTTATTTTCAATGAAATAGTAAAATAGTATAATAACTCTACCTTTGGATTCTTGCCCTCTTTGGCCAATAATGCCCGAAGTCTTTCTTGTGAAGGGGGTGCAATAAAAATAATATATGGTTTCAAGTCTGAATTCCGGAGAGTCTTCAATGACTGAAAAGAAAAGGTATTTTGGATCTTTTGAAAAATTTTCATTATTTAACTCCTTCCAAGTAATATACATGGAATATAACGTCATTAAAAAATATTACCCATGAGTGTTTCCAAACATCTTTGTAACAAAAAATTTACAATATTTTAAGATCCTACCATTCACTAAAAATGTTACACACCTATAAGATCACACACAAACACACAATATTGGCTCGCTTTTTTTATGTAATGAAATAAAAATGAATGATAAAGATGACAACTACGTGATGTTAAAATACCCTGCTCATAAGATCACATGCAGATTTTAATAACGATATTAAAAATCCATTTTAGAGGAATGATAAATGAGCAGTCCATCTTATAATGTGCCAGAGTTTAAATGCAAGCACAATCAGAGAGAAAAACTTCACATACACATACAAAAAAAAAAAACCCAAAACAAATTCTGGAAGAGTACATCCAAGAAAAAGCAGACTCGGTTTGAATTAGGAGGTGGTGGTTTTCACCTTGCCTTTGCCACTGCATGATGGTGTGTCTGTAAACTGAGGCAAGCACTCTATCAAAATGGGAATTAAAGGGACATGCCCCCTATTTTTAAATCTAAAAACATTTTTAAGACAATATGCTTAACTTCTCTATATTCTTTGGTACAACTGCTAGTCCAAGTAACATAAGAATTCTGAAGGAATTTAGTAAATACATTTATACTTCTTCTTAAATGTTTACAACTAAAACAGTAGAGACTAAACTCTTTGTCCACTACAAAACAAAACTTAATTATGTCTCAAGAGAGCTGTTTTAGAGTCAATTCCCTTTCTTGTACATCTATTTAATAGCCACTGCTTAGGTTTTCTGAGCTGACATAGGCAGCAGATTCCACCACACCAAGGAACCTTTTATACTGAAGCTGTCTGGTCTAGAAAAACTTTTGTACAACAAACACAATCTTAAAAATCGCAAATTTCTAAAATTATTTTATTTTTTTAATGAAAATCAAAGCAATTGTTAATTATTTTTGAGTTTTTGCTTAGTCTGCTAAATAACAGAAACCAATGGAAGTTTCATTATTTAATACGACTAAGCATCCATTATGATACTTGCTAATACTTGAACTATGGTATTTAAAACCATGATCTCTATTCTAATTTTTCTCAGATCAGAATCAGAAAAAGGAGATTCTTTTAAAAGCTCTAAAATCCTTAAAAGTACTACCAGCACTACAGTTACTGTATTTTATGTTTTAGAAAATATATTTGTGAATATATGCAGTTATGTATGTATTTTACTCTCTGAGGAAATTGAGATTTAGCAATCTGTCTGATTTCACATAGGGAAGCAGTGGGAAAAAGCTGTGTAAGAACTTGGGGAAGGGCTGACAAGGAACATGTATAAAGGACCCTTGGACAAAGCCAAAGCGGGGAAGGATTGAGGGTGGGAGGTGGGGCTAAGTGGAGCAGGGGAAAGTGGCAGCAGGAAAATGGAGACAACTGTAACAATAAAAAAAAAAAAAAAAAAAGAAAAAAATAACTTACTTAGGTCCTATGGTTCATGGACCAAAATCCAGTTGCCCTAAATTACTTTGCAAAAAATGTCCTCAGTTTCAACATCCTAAACCAAAATAGCTTTACCTGTGTACGTAGACTTAAAAGACATATTTTCCCAGAGTTGATCACTTGACGTACAGAATCTATGCTGGTTCCATACAAATTTTTCTCAAATTCGCCATGCTCAATGAACTTTCCAGCTGCTATGTCTGCCTCGAATGCTTGCCGAGAAACAAAGTGGTAATCTCTGCCAGCTACTTCGTGGTCTCGCCTACTGCGAGTTGTATCTAAGTAAACAAAATCCCGTAAAAAGAATCAGTATGGATCAGGGTACAGGTAGAGCACCATCTTGTTAATCAGAAAAAAATTTTATTTTATCATACAGAAAACAAAATAATTAATTTAGAAAATGTTAAGAGCCCAGGTGTTTAGCACTGGTTAATTTCTAGATTGAGAAATTAACAAAAATGTTTTTAGTATCTTATTAATAGTTACATTTATAACTTTGCTTTTATTTTAAATTGCTGCATCTTGCATTTAAAACACTACTACTCACCTTTCCTGAAGTTTACTTTGTAAGATTGGGAACTATGTAAGGTACCATATAATTTTTAAATAGAACTTCTGTGTTCAAAGATCATGTCTAAATTTCAATCTTATGCATCAGTTTAAAAAAACAGAAGTTGATTTCATATTGAACAGGGAATGATAAGAAGTGCAAAATAAAATTCATTTAGAAAGTAATTAGTACCATATCAGGAAAAACTGAAATTTCCCAAGAATATTTGGCTAAAAACAAGATTCCTCTTTTCTGGACAACATTGTTTTGATGAAATAGAGGAAAAATTACCCTACACAGTTAGGTTCTAAAGCAGTGAACTGAAAAGCACAGGAAAATGGGAAAGCATCCAAACTTACGAGGAACTGCAGATGCAAAGCGGTCTTTCTCTTTGTTCATGAGCCTCTGACGCAATTCATTCTGGCCACAGTTCTGTGGACCAATCAAAATGATAGGTCTTTTCCTATTTGCTGGTTGATGATAAAGTGACATTTCCTCATAAGTTAAGATTTCTTCATTGTCATAGTCTTTAGAAAAAGAAAAAGTTAAGACCTTCAGACAGAATTATTGCTGTGTAATAAAGATATACTCATAGATCTTCCAAAAAAACTGGAAAGGGCACAATTTCTTATTAAAAAAGCTTAAGTTTTTAGATCAAGATGGTATTATATCATGAGTATTTTCCAAGTCATTATATCCTTTCCAGGATACTATGAAAATAAATCAGACCATATATTAATTGTTCTAGAAATGTTTATTGCTTTTCTTGTTTCATACTGTGTTTCTGAATGTTTAATAGAATATAACTATACTGATTCTTATGTAAAATAGCTAATTTGCAGCCAACACTCTGACAGAGGGTGACACACCAGGGGATAATGAGAAGAGTATCTATTGCTCTTGTAAAATGGGGATACTAACACTTTACTTAAGAGGGTTGGTTTAAGGATCAGACATAATGTATACGCTGAGCACAACACCCAGCACAGACATTCACAAGTAGTGGCTACAACTAGTGGTATCAGAGAAAGCTGAAATACTTTTCTGTGATTTTTGAACTTGAAAACAGGTTGTATCTGTGCCATTTAAACTTCCTGCATTTATATTTACTTTATTCTGGAATACCTGAGATCATGATTCAAATGAGGTATAAATTATGATAGGTGTGGTAACATTCCTACAGCCCATAATTCAGATGAAATCAGAGCTGTTAAGTGGTTAGAACTAAAGCAGACAGTAACAGGCTGCCATCTTCTCACTCATATTAATTCACCTGAGAAATAGCGCCAAATGTGTGGTCAGACTCTCTCAGCTGTAAGTTTCATGGGGGTAGGGGACCATCTTAGTCTTGTGAGTGCTTAGCACAGAGCACAAAGTACGAGCACAAACTGTATTTGTTTAAATTTCTGCTCAACTATATCTTAGCTGTAAGAAGTTAAGCAGGACGCTTCAATATCTCAATTTGAATTTATTAATCTGGAACCTCAAGGAATTTATTATGAGAACTAAGTGGATGAAGGTATCTAAAGCACATACAGCTAGCTCCCTAGAATAAAAGTTATTATAAAACGTTATCATTAATAAAAAACATTAATTACGGTGACACCATTTTGAACAGAAATGTAATCCCTTCCCTTCCCAAAATGCTTTTCACTCTGAAATACCCGAGTTCCATCTCTTACCATGTGTAGTCAGACTACGGCAGCATTATGATTTATAGACTTAGTTTATAATCTGGAGACTTCAGATTTGCAAGTTTTCTAGAGTACAATAGCTATTAGAGCTGAACAGATTTAGTATGTTTCAAATGATGAAAAAACAGATATTAATCACTTAACCTGAGTATAGAGAAAAGGATTAAAAACTCAATAAATCTTCTCAGTTACATAATATATTGATTACCATTAAGGATGTTTATTTTGAAAAAAAATCTTTTTATTAAAATAGATGGACTCTCAGATTTAGTTTTTATGGAGTTTTTCAATAATCTATAACATTTTATTTTCTTTGTTTTAATCTATACTGCCTAAGAAATATTTCAAAATATTGCGCGAATAAGCCTTATAAATTGTTTAAGAAGTTAAGGATTGCCTTGACTTTATTATTTGGCTTGTTTCAAACATGGACCAAAGAGGAGGTAATGAATTCTAATGTCCAAAAGGACCAATTAAGAAGGTAATGGAAGCAGTTAAGTCATGTCTGGTTTGTAGAAAGTTAGATGTTGTAGCAACTGTGGAACTGAAGATAGTAGGTACCCAATATAAACCCAACAGCCACTACTCAGGTTCTGCAGAATGTTGTCACTTGGGAATATGAGCCACACGTTATTACAGCTTTTAATTTTAAGAGAAACTACTGTACAACTTTAAAATAAAACAAACAATTCTCCTGACTCCACCAGCTAGTAGCAGGCTCTGTGGAATGGGCTGCCTCAGTGACAGGAGTTGTCACAGACAAGACAATCATTGTTTACTTAAAATATAGCTATATTGTGAGAATTTGTCAGGAACTTGTATTCATTTCACAAAGAGTTTAAGTAGGAAGGAATTAGAGGTATTTCAATTCAATTTCCTCAAAATTGAAGAAATAGCAATATAATGCTATATATGTTAATCGTACTTTATTTTATACCAATTTTTCTCAGAATTCAAAATACAGAATTACTTATAGAATTCCAAAAGAAAATCATTTTTGCTAAATTACTTTCTTAACCCCTTGTGTCATATTAAGAGGCAAAACAGGACTAGAGACAAAACTACCTGAAAATATCAATTTAATTTCTTTCAAGTGTTAAGTACTGGGCCTCTTTCAGATATAAATCCAACTATCTCTGAGAATGGAACTTACCATCATTTTTATTGGCATTATATAAAACCTTTTTCCTCTTCTTTTTATTCTTTTTTGCACACCACAGCTTTCCTATAGAATAATCATAAACATAACTAAATATATTTGTTTCCTATAATAAAGCCACATATTTTACATTGAAGAACTCAAATAGTTTTTTAAAACTGAATTTATTGGGGTGACGCTGGTTCACAAAACCATATCAGTTTCAAGTGTACAACTCAATAAATCATCTGCACACTGCATCGTGTGCCCATTGTCCCAAGCATAATCTATATCCGTCCCCATTTCCCCGCCCTTGCCCGCCTCCACCTAGCCCCCACCCCACTTTCCCCTCTGGCTATCACCACACTGTTGTCTGTGTCTGTCTGTTATGTATGTAAGTTTTAAAAAATCTTCACCACAGGACATACTTACTGATTTTAGAGAGAGGGGAAGGAAGGGAGAGAGAGAGAGAAACATCGATGTGAGAGAGAAACATTGATCGGTGGCCTCCTCTATGTACATGTCCCCCAACCGGGGACTTCTTGTACACGCCCCAACTGGGGACTGAACCCACAACCTTGGCATGTGCCCTGTCTGGGAATCAAACCCACAACCTTTTGGTTTACAGGATGATGCGCCAACCAAGTAAGCCACACCAGTCAGGGCTGTATGTAAGTTTTTTGGCTAATCCCTTCACCTTCTTCCATCTAATCCCCCAAACCCCTTCCCCTCTACAGCTGTCAGTCTGTGCCATGTATCTCTGCCTCTCTTTCTATTTTGTTCTTCAGTTTATTATGTTCATTAGTTTTAAATTTAAATTTATAAACACTTATTACATTGTTCACAGAAAAACTATTTTTCAGGGAAGTATTTATAATTTTCCATTAATCTTACATTACAGACCAACCATCGTTAACACTGAAATCTCGCCTGTTCTTTACAGTTCTAAGAAAATCGGTTTTGCCTCTCACATCACTCCTGGCATGAATACATCCTTCTTGACAGTTCTGATATATAAATTTAAACATGGTTCCAGATGAAGACCCAAGAAACCTCTCACTAATGTCAAACAGGAATTTCCAACCTGATTTTTCTGGCTCCTTATCTTCTTCTATGGTTTGCTTCATGGCTTCCCTTTGCTGCTGAAAGCTTTTCCCTTAACAGGAGAAAGAGTAAAATATTTAAGACAAAGAACAGAAGTTAGGGAAAAAAAAAACCAAGAAAAAAACATAGAAAATAACTAGTCAATTATATTCCCTTCTAATTCCTTCTACCACCTCAGGGAGTGTGTCTATTATGATTTTTAAGCCTCCAAATGTTAAGTTTTAACCTCACTCTCAACCAATCCTAGGACATGTATTACTAGAATATATCACATACTAGAAAAGATAAAAAACTCGTGCTAGAAAGTTTAATAGTTCAATTTTTACAAAGCTTTCATTGAACATTACTAAGTGGAAAGCACTATGCTGGATCTTACAACAGCTCTGATCATTCAGAATTATCTGAGATTTCAAGCAAATTCATTCTAAAAGTTAACTCTCCAAAATAATATGTAAACATTCACCACTTTTTGATTCCAAGATACCACTAAACATATTCCCTTGCATTTATTATTCTCTATCCCTCCTTTATATTTATGCATATATGTATGTTTATGTTTTAATGATTTTTTTAATTGCAACACAGGTTGCAATTAATGATAGAGATAATGATAGAGATAAATGAAAAACATATTGTTTTTCTTTTCAGGATTAAGCATTTAATAGAGGAGGCTTTCAAAGATTCTGACCTTCATCTTCTTTTATGACGTCTATCTTAAAACCAAGTGTATTTTTCTGAAGGCTAAAAATAGTTTTACTTAGAAAATTCTAGATTAAAGTTCTACTTTTATATTTAATTTTTACATCTAATTCTTTCCATTTCAAGCCAGGGATTCATAACCACCAATAGGTAATTTCCATCTATGGTGGAATGATCTATAAAATGTAATGTATTTCATAATAGCACAGGCAAAAACATTAATACTGAGTATGACACACATAAGCAGCAATAAAGGAAATCAGGTTTTCTCCAGGAACTGTACAGACTGCATTCCTAGTGAAAGAAGTAACTGCAACTAGGGGGAAAATTTTAGGAGCATTAACATTTAAAAATGAGTATTTGTCTTTAACGGACAAAAAAATAAGGAAGAAAATAATTTTACTCATTTACGTATTAAAATGTTTAAAAACATTATAGTGCTATACTTCTATGGCACATTTTTACAGTATACACACATGAAACTTTCTGAAATGGAGGCAGACATTCATGGAGCATATTGAACATTACGACCTCTTAAAAATCCTTCTAACAGAAAACCATTATCACACTCAAACCAAGGTGGTTCTATTTACTTGTCCTATAAAAAGACTTGCAAACGATATCATTGAAATCTCCTTGACTGATCTATATACGAGTACTTTCAGAAAGTCAATGTAATCGATCTGTCAATAAACACCAGTTCTAAATATTTATGGGCTAAGGCTGGCATGTTAATACGAGATCGAATTAATATTTGGCAGAAGCACTGAGTAGAGAACCATGACGGCTGCTCAATACTCCATGATTCTAGAGGAATGTCCTGCAACTGTTACTGTAAAGAATCAAGGGTGTAGCAAGCACCACACTCTAAACTTGATGTAAGCAGCTTATTCCTCTTTTCTTGAAATACAACCAAGTACAGACAAAATTTGTTTCCAGTTTTTGGATTTAAAAACAGATGACTTGTGGTTTTCTGTAACCTTATTATACTCATAAAGAATAAATGTAAATATTGTATTACATCCTAATTTCATTCTAAAGCCCAACAAATTGGTCAAAATTATATTCAGGATACTTACGTTACAGATAAAACATAAAAACATGAAAAACTACATGAAAAAGTAATTATATTATTTTTTAATTTTATTTATTTATTTTTAGAGAGAGGGAGAAAGAGAGGGAGGGAAACACTGATGTGCAAGAGATACATCAATCAGTTGACTCTTGCACACCCCTACCTGGGGACCTGGCCTGCAACACAGGTATGTGCCTGGACTGGGAGTTGAACCAGTGACCCCCCAGGATCACAGGCCAGCGCTCAATCCACTGAGTCGCCATTCCAGTTAGGGCTAATTCCATTGTTTTTTAAAGGCATGAAAAAGTTAGTTCCCTCTATGAAGGTTTGTTTTATAAATTTTTTTTTAACTATGTACTTTCTACTATATTGTCCTTACCTGGAACAAGCCCAGCTAGAGGCTGATTATCTTCATCCCCTTCCCTGTAGGCTTGCCACCAATTTGGATCTTCCTGACTGATCACATGAAGTATATCTCCTTTTTGAAAGGACAGGCCTAACTCTCGACATGGAACATAAGGGTCATCTGAAGGGTCATAGTCAAAATGAGCTTTTACATGGATCTAAAAGATAAAATGGGTAAAGTGAAAAAAAAAAACAAACCTATGATGAAATGGCAACACAAAATATTGAGCATAGATATAATTAAAGTGTTACTTTTTTCATCAGTACAAAGAAATTAAGAGTTGAAAGAAGGGAGGTTTAGTTAAATAACTATTTTGGGGGCAGTATTTTCTCAGGCTCAACTGTTTTCCTCAATTAAGCTCATCTCTCTATTGACTGTAAACATGTATCAAGAGTATGCAAAACATCACACTGTCAGCCACTAACAAGCTGAATGCTAAAGAGCTTCCAAGGCTTAAGAGAAGCAGAAGGAATGTAGTAAAGACCACTCTCAGGTTTCTCAAACCTGTAAAATGGATCTCTTGATTTTTCTCCCCAAATCTGTTTTCCTCCAGATTTCCCTTTAGTAAGTACCACCACTATCCACCCAGTTGTTCAAGTATCCTTGCTTCCTCCCTTTCCTTTACTTTCCACATTCATTCCAAGATCCTGTCATTTCTGCCTCCAGAACACAGCCTGTTTCATTTTCTCCACTGCTACTGCTATCATCCAAGTGTAAGCCATTACTTTACTTCCTAGTGAATTCAGCGACAGTTTTCTAAATCTCCTTGCTTCCTTATTGGCTGTACTGATCCAATTTCTAAACAGAAGTCAGTGTTTTTTTCCAAATACAAATCAGGTCACTCACTGTATTGAAAATCCAAACTCCCAGCTATGGCTAAGGAGACCTACCTGACCTGGCCCTACCCACCTCTCTGGCAGCATGTCTTAGAATCCCCTCCCCACCTTTCTACTCTCCTACTTTACTCCATGCCCTCAGACTTTCCCAGCACAGTTCTTCAGGAATTATACCTGAAAGCTCCGCTGGCAATTACCAGGCCTGGCTTCATCCGTCCCACAGGTCTCAGCCTCATGTTGCTGTCTCCAAGAGACCTTTCCTGACCATCTCATGTAATACATCCCACTTCTTTGTATTCTGTGCTCACATTCTGCATATTCCTACCTTATCACTTACTGGAAGGTATAATTATTTTATGTCACGTTCATTATTATAAACCCAGTGTTTAGCACAATGCCTCGTACACAAAAGAGATCCAATAGATATTCAGCGTAAGGAAAAAAATTATTTGGGCTCTCTAAGAATATATTTCAATAATTAACATGGCTGGGCTAGTGGCTAATTCTATGGTTTGGATCCCTGCACTGTGATTTTAGCATCCTCCTATTCTGAGCCTTTAAGTTCCCCTTAAATGACTTCTATCCTCTCAATCCAGACCCCACAAAGCGAAAGACTTCATGAAGGCATACTCCGAGTCTTATTAGAGGTATTAGTATTCAACAGGCAATTTCAAATACCAAAATCTCATAATATGCTTTTGTTGTTCTCAGAATCCAGACTATCACATACATAGTTACTAAGAGGTTGTTGATTCATCTATAGTTACAATTTTCTGCCCTGACATTCTAATTATTTTCTTTGGACTGATGATAAACAGTAATGTAGAAACCTAGTACTTAATGCCTTTGAAGGGCATTACCTGTTATGCTACACAGAAGTTAAGAGCACAGGCTCTGGAACAGGCATAGGTTCTAGTCCTGACTCAGCCACTTACCAACAGTGAGCTTATGCAATTAACTTGACCTTTCTAAGCTCTAGTTTCAATGCCTGTTAAATGGGAATAATAGATATCTATATTTCATAGGGATACTTTGAGGATTAAATGAGATAAAACATATAAAACAATTACTACCGTGCCTGGCGTAGAGTAACCATAATAGCTAACAATTATTGGACAATCAATAATCTGAATTATCTAGTGCATATTCTATCACAAATAAGCAGTATGATCCTGCTACATTTCAATTTAGTCCTCTGTTAGATTAGGGCATTAGACTAGATGAAAAATTTGTTTGGGAACTCTAACTTTTTTTTTTAAGTCAATGTGGAGAGAAAGAAACTACATAGTTTAAGCAATGCATGTTTCCTGGGATAAATGTGTCAGTCACCCAGAATGTGAAATACAAAGGTACCAAAACTCTTGCCCTCTGCAAATGATAAAGCAACCTCTTGCTGCTATGTGTGATGAGTAAGGAAGTACTTTTCCTGACATAGTTTACTCTTATCATTCGTGATATAATTCAGAAAGTGATTATAGTGACATTTCAGATAACACCTATTTTGTTTATTTTAAATACATGTTTCTAGTATCATAAGGCATAAAGACAAAGTTCAATGCTGTAAGTCATAAAAATTCTGAAAAAAAATTTGTTTACTCAATCTGAAAACCTGATATTTTGTATTTGTTTAAATAAACACTACTGAATTTCTTTGTTCTCAGAAAAATATTTTGTTCTTCCTAGATCCTGTCCTGTACCATAATGATGTCCAATAAATTTGTTTTAATTTCTTAAAATTACTATTCTTATAGATAATAATTCTGAATATACCAAATATAATTTCCTATCACTGTTTTCTTTCTGGAAACCTTCAGTGCAAATTTTAATAATAATAATATTTCATTTTAAGCCAGTTAGGTTTGAGAAAAACTTTGGAAGAGCTAGCGCAATTGAGACTTCTTCACAATAAATGGAGGAAATGAGGGAAAAGAAAAATATTACACAACACTGTTTCTACTTTGAAAAGATTTCTACCCATCAAATGCTGTATTTTAAAAGAGCATCTTTTTCTTTCTCTCCTTCCCTTTTTTTCAGCCACATAAGTGAGGATATATTTCAACCCTTCTCTGTTGTGTCTTCTTAAAGTGCAGAGCTACTTGTGAAGTTCAGGGCTTGTTCATAGGAGAGGTATGTAGAAAGACACAGGGCACAGAGAATCAGGCTACTGAAATACAGAGACAAACAATTTCCTCACTTCTCCTCCTGCAAAGAACTTGAAACAGAAGGAAGATTGCAAATGCAGTATCAAATTCAGTATGTTCCATAAAGGATAAAGGAAAAACATGGAATGAGAGGCAAAAGGTAAGTTTAACTGTGATGAAATACTGAGAAAAAAAGAAACTGTTTTCCAAACTGTTAATGCTTTTATAAAAGCTAAGAATAGTAACAGATGTAATATATCAGGCTTCCATATTAATCTAGCACTTTCAAGTCTGTAATATTTTAATAGTTTTTTTGAGATATAATAGTTAAACTCTGTAAGTCACCCATGTATACAACTGGGTGGTTTTTAGTAAGTTCAGAGCTGTGCAACCACCAACAATTTCAGAAACACCACTGATCAGAAATCCTTCCCTTTTCCCCTAGCTCCCCACCCCTACACTTAAGGAACTACTAATTTGCTTTCTGTCTTCGTAGATTTACCTATTCTGGACAGTTCATATAAACGAACCATAACATGGCCTCTTGTGACTTAGCATAATTTTTCAGGATCATCCATGTCACCCATCCATTAAGTACTTTTATTCCTTATTACCAAATAATACCCCCTATTTCAGTTTCCATGAATGAACTGGCAGACATTTGGGTTGCTTCTACTTTCTGGTTATTATAAATAATGCTGCTGTGAATACTCACAAGTTTGTGTGAGATTATGTTTTCAATGCTCTTGGAATATACCTAAGAATGGAACTGTGGGTCATAAGGTAAGAAAGTCTGTCTTTTAATACAGCTAATGGAGTAATACAGCTAACATAAAGAGGAAGACACATTATAAGAGTTGTGCATACTTTGTAAAAGCACTTTTCCTCCTTACGCTAAGTATATTTAAGTTACATAAATCCACATATAATGACAGAAAAAGACAAAATTCAACGTTGTAAGTCATAAAAATTCTGGAAGAAATTTTATGTTTATTCAATCTGAAATACTGATATTTTATATTTGTTTAAATAAAAACTACTGTATTTGTTTTTACTTGAGTGCAAGAAATATTTAGGGCAGCATTTCTGATACTCAAACAACATGCATGGTACAAGATTTTGTGTGGATTTAAGTTTTAAAGAACTGAAAACATATATCCACATAAAAACCTACACATGGATGTTTATAAGCAGCGTTATTTATAACTACTAAAACTTGGAAGCAACCAAGATGTCCTTCAGTAGGTGAGTGAATAAACTGTTGTCTATCCATAAAATAAACTGTTATTCAGCAGTAAAAAGAAATGCGCTATCAAGCTATGAAAAGACATGCAGGAAGTGTAAATGTTTATTACTAATGATAAAAGCCAATTTGAAATGGCTATATATGTACTGTAAGATTCCAACCATATCTTCCCATACGTTTCCCATATGTTTGGTTTGGTTCCCAACCAAAACGTTTGGGAATGTTTTGCCGTTTCCAAAACGTTCTGGAAAAGGCAAAACTATAGAGACCAGTGGTTGCCACAGCTGGGGGGAGGAACTGATGAACAGACAGAACATAGAGGGTTTTTAGGGCAGGGCAACTATTCTGCATGATACAATGGTGAATGAATGTATGTAATTACATATTTGTCAAAACCCATAGAATGCACACCATCAAAAGTGAATCCTAATATAACTATGAACTTTGAATAATGATGGAACTACCGATTCACTGATGTAACAAATGTGGCCTCTGGTACCGGGTGTTGGCAGTGGGGGAGATTAGCCATGTGTGCAGTTAAGAAGTATGTGAAACTCTGGACTTTCAGCTCCATTATGCTGTGAATCTAAAACTACTCTAAAAAAACCCCACTTTATTAATTCAGAAAAAAAAGTTAACAGTAGTTCTCAGACAGTAAGTAATAAACAAACAAACAAACAAAATCACTTACTACAGTTTCCTTGGCAGGAGGAGGCTTGATCTGTTGACTGGGAATCAGAACAAATGTCAAAGTACCATGCATGTCAGACTGTAACAGAGAGATCAGGTAATTTTTAAAATCCATACTTATGAAAATCATTCCATGATCTTATGATCAACATTCCCTAAACTGGACTATTCTGGAACCATTAGGAGACTCAAGAAAATCAGTAAAGATTAATCCCATTTCATCAGGAAGCACAACTTATGCCTTTCATGGACTCCATTATAGTAGAACTACCCAGTAATATGGCATTTTGTAATTCTGGCACACTGGGGAAAGCCATTTAGCCCGTAAGTCTTGGGTTTTGGTCTTCTACTCAGTGTAAGTTTAGGAAGATTCCACAGTGAAGGACTGGACAACACCACAGTGCTGTAACAATTCTGCGTTATCTACTCTGACACACATCAATTTTAATGCAGTAGAATTTGAAATAGTCACTGTGACCAGGATTAGAAAAGCAATGCAAATACACAAATATTCTTCCCTCCCAGATGCCCTATTTCTGTCATCCATTCTATATTTTAACTATATAGAGCCTTACTGCCAGGTTGACTATTATTTCCTCATACACCACTAAGTGGATTCTTCAGATACCTCCAACCTAGATAGTAATACAGTAATCACAGTTTCTGGTTCTGAGATAGCAGGGAGCACGCTCAACCTAGAGACCGCGGCCAATAAAACAAGGGCTAAAAACAATGACCACTGGCGCTTTGCTCTACCAAAGCAATGAATGGGGTTTAGTGAAAATAAGGATAGAATCATGGTTTCTAGATCATTCAACAGACATCAGCAGACAGGAGAGATTCTATTGTAACAACTGATGTTAAGTCAGTAAGAACATAAATCTGGTTTGTGGGTATATACTTAGTGATTATAAATTGCTCTCTTAAGTAGTCTACAAATTGCTTCCTGACTATACAAGCACTGCCTAGTAGAACTTTCTATGATGATAAAAATGTTCCATACACACACACACACACACACACACTCTCTCTCTCTCTCTCTCTCTCTCTCTAATATGGGAGCCATTAGCTACATACTGCTCTTGAGCACCTGAAATACAAGCCAGTAGGGATGAGAAACTCAATTTAAATTTTACTCAAATTGGAATAACTACCACATGTAGCTATCGGACAATATAGATCTATACTATTGCTATTATCTAACATTGTTAAGTAAACAACAATCAATTGTGGATAATAAAAATGAATATAAAAATCATGGGGGCATTGACTTTATTTTGTTACTCTTTCTCTAGCAGGTGGCACACAGCAGGCAACTCAAATAAATACATGTTGAATGAATTAATGAAATATATTAGTGACTTCATAAGTAAATAAATATATCTACTAAAGCTCAAAATAAAAATCAGTAGTACCCACCATAAAACTCTACTAATATTGTAGAAAAATTAGGCTAGAAATGATCTTGTGCTCTTAACAATTATTTTTAAAATGCTTTAAAATATTTTATTCTGATGTCTAATAATTAAAAAAACTCAGCTTTCAAGAACCTCACAATTATTCTTCTCCCTGTGTCAACTTACCAACAAGTCAAAAACCTCATTGACATCTTTCCCCCGAATTTCAATGCCATTAATCTCCAGAACTTCATCTCCTTCATGTAAAAGACCACTTTTCTCTGCAGCACCTCCTTTTACTATCCGACTAATGATGACAGAATCCATTTCATTACGAACTGTAGCACCCTAAAAAAATTCAACATTCAATTTTAAAGTGGAAATGTAATTTTGGTTCAACATTTCATTTTTAAATGCTTATTTTTTTTCTATTCAATGTTAGCCTTCAGTTATCTTGAGGGAAAAAATGACTTACATAGCTAGAGTAATGATAATTAGGTTTGAAAGTTGACCATTTTCCTCACATTTTCTGCTTCAGAAACAATCCATTCATTAAAATTCTATCAAGCAAACTTTTGAAGCATACAACAGAAAATGTACTTTTTTGACAACAGTATGAGGAAATTTGTTCTCTATATGATGGATTATACGGTATTTAGGTGTAATTAGTGAACATGACATAATTATAAAACTCCTTTTTTAAAATTCAAATATAAAGGAATGAATAGTAATCTGGTTATTATTCAAATGTTAAATATTATAGCTATATCCAGTTCACACTGAAATGTATTAAACATTAATATTTACTATACAAATTAGAAATACAACCAAAATAATATATCTAAATAATGGAAATATAAAATACAGAAAAAACCTTGAAAGCAGATAGAGTTTGTAACACTTTTCTCTCCAACTTTTGTCATAACTCCTAATTTCTATTTTGTGATGGGGAAGAACACTAAGTTACATAAATTGCCCATAATACATGGGCCCTATTTCCTGTATCACAATATTCAAAACACAATTTGAGATCAGGATTCAAGAATATTCTCTGAAAGGAAGGAAAATTAAGGCAATAATAGACTAAGAAGAGACTGAAAAAAGTTTTACATATAAACCTATAAAACAAATATTAACATTAAGGAACATATACTTCTAAGTATACATGAAATGTATAAGTAATTGTGTTTCAACAGATTTAACTGAATGAAAAAGTCAGATTTTCTCATTTTTTTAAAAAGAAATTAGGGAGAATTAAAAAACACATTACTTGTCCCTTTGTTCCTCAACAATTATTTCACATGCTACTATTTTCAAATTAGTATCAAATTATGGGTGAGAAGATGATGAACAAATTTTTCTCTGGGTAAGGAGTATGAGGAAGAACATGAAAGATTCAAACAAATTGACCTCAAAGGAGAAAAGCTATCAGAAATGTAAAGGAGTCTTCATTAATCTGCCATACAAGATCCCTGTGTAGAAAGAACCTCAGATCAAAGATGTAGAATTCTTACCAATGGAATATCTCGAGCCTTTTCTATACGAACTATTTTTACAGTTTCTCCTCCATACTGGCCAATGCTTTCATAAACTCTCTCATCTGTAATGGGCTCCAGCTGCATTTCCTGCTCAGCGACCTTATCATGGGCCAGTAGAAGTGCCTGTTTCAAAAAAAATCCACAGGATTTAAAGTAACAGCATGACTCATTTCTCTAGAGATATTTTAACCCAATCATACACAGGGTATAGCAAAAGTAGGTTTGCAGTTGTTTGCATGAAAATATTAAAACAATAAATACAAGGATCAACTGTTTTCTGTACTCACAACTGTAAACCTACTTTTGCCCAACCCTGTAGTATTCTAATCATTAAACCTTTAAAAGTAGTACTATAATTAATGACATATTGAGATCTGTTTCCAAATTTTCCAATTAAGTACAGGTGCGACCCTGTATCTTTCATAGCCAATAATAACTAAAGATATGTTAGGTATAATAGGGCATACTCTGGGCTAGGTTATAAAAGTTTAAAATTATTATTTTACTGCAAAAAACAAAATTAATTTAAAGGCCCAATACCTTACATAAATTTATGAAAAATATAACCAAAAAAGGAGAGGAATTTCTTTTAAAGAATATGAAGATGTTTCAAAAATGATTAGTTTTAAATATGAAAATATATAACTCAACAATACTTATTTTGCAGTGGGAGTTGTTTAATAATTAGCACAGTCTGATAGTGTTTGAGGTCTCTCCTAGCCCTAACAGACTTTGATTCAAAGAGACTCTGAATGTTGGAAAAACTACACATCCAATGCTCTGTCCATTTTCTACCTGAATATGTGGAGCATTCAGCAAAGCAGTTAATTCTTGTCCTTCCTTCTGGTGGATTGGCTTCAAAACAGTTTGTACCTAAGGAACAAAAAGATTAATTCTTCCTATGTTACAGGAAGTATCACCAGCACCTATACAGGAGTTTTTTTTAAAAAAATACATCTTAAAATCGCAAAAACTTTTAAGAAAGACCGACACTAAAAACTCTCACTGAGTATTCAATCTTGTTATCATGGTGAACAAGAACACTCTTTATTAAAAAAAAACCCACTAGATAAGATTTGGTATTTATGCATATGAATGAACTATTTCCTTCCTCCAAGTTTCTCCCAACATACCGTAAAAGACTAGCAATGATTTTAAGTTCTTAATCATGTTTATGCAATTATATTTTAAGTCAAAGACACTTTTCGAGCATTACTGATTAACAGGATACATTTATATGACTAACATTATAATATGTAATTCACCATATTACAGTGAATTACATTTAAAAAGTTCCCAAATGTGAAGCAATGCATTCCTAAGATAAACTACATTTGATAGTGAATTTAGTCTTTGTTTTCTCATCTGAGTAACAGCAGCTACCATTTAAGATTCTCAAAAAACTGAGATAATCTATATAAATTTAGTACAAAATTATCACTTCGTATTATTTCTAGATGTGAGTTATTAACATTTTAAGGCTTCTATTTTAATGTTCCTAAGTTGGATGGGCCTCTATTTGGTGAGTGTGGTGGTCAGTGTACACTGGTTTACAAAACTATCTGGTTTTACTACCTAAGTCATTATAGTGTGATGAATGGGAAAATAGTCTCTATTTGTGTCACACTAGTTTATTTAACATTAGAATTGTATGTTCCTGAATGTTTTGAAAGACTGTGCATAAAATCATCTGGGCCTGGTAGGTATTTTTACGGGTGGAATGCTCACTTTCAATTTTATCTTTAACTACTGGTTATCTCTTTTTAAGTCACTTTTGACAATTTATATTTACTTAGTATTAACCACATACTTGATAGAACTTTGACATTTAGTTAAGAAAGCTGTAACTGTACTGTTATAATTTTTACTCTTTTGTGTCTGCATTTTCTTTCCTAATGTTATTGATATTTTTTTTTCATCTAACTTGTCAAAGATTTCTCTATTTTCTTGATTTGGGTTGGCCAAAAAGTTCATTTTGTTTTTCTCAAGGAACATGGCTCTAGTAGCACTTAGTTGTCTTTAACTTCATTTGAAACAATTTGTTAGACCGTATTGTGACAGCTGTCATATCAGTGTGCACTTAAAAAAAAAACTGGTGAATTTTGTGTAGCTATTTTAATATTGAAAATGGGAGAAAATATGCAATATTTTTGGCATACTGTGATTTATCAAGAAAGGTAAAAAGCACAACTGAAATGCAAAAAATGATTTGTGCAGTGTTATGGAGGAGGTGCTGTGACTGCTCGAACCTGTCAAAGGTGGTTTGCAAAGTTTTGTGCTGAAGATTTCTTGCTGGACAATGCTCCAAAGTTGGGTCGACCAGGTGAAGTTGACAGTGATCAAACTGAGACACTGAGAACAATCAAATCAGGAGACAGCCAACATACTCAAAATACCCAAATCAGTAAGTTATTGGTGGAAATGAAAAATGTGTCCTTTATATTTCAAAAAAAACCGTATGGATTTTTTGGCCAACCCAGTACTTCTCAAAGAAACAGCTTCTAATGTTCAGTCTACTGTTCTTTCCAATAAACAATTTAATTCCTTTTTCTGCTTTAGTTTATTTTCCTTTTTAATTTCTAATCACTTAAGATGTATGTTCAGTTCATTTATTGCCAATCTTTTTTTCTTCTACCATAAATATTTAAAGGTACAAACTGTGATCTGTGGACTACCTTCCCCCAAAGAGTATACATCTATGTTCTCATTGTCCATGCCTCTGATTTTCTTCCCTTTCCTATTTCCAAACTCAACCACACACCAAAAGAGTACGTAATGCAGGTAACAAAGCAAAATTATCACCATTAATAAAAACACATATAAGTTAATTTGTATATAGAATTTTTTGTTACAAAACTCACTCATGATTAAAACAGGAATCCAGTAATTCTTTAATACTTCTTACAGCTATTTTAAATCACCTTTCCCCTAGCAAACCTAAGAGATGATAATTTTGGGGTTAACTAATTTGAGCACAAGTGGAACAAGGAATGACAGTAAAAAACCAGCCTGTCCTCTGGTTTTGGTACCTAGAAAAACATGTTTCTAATTGCAGAGTTCTGTATGTGTGAGCAGTACGGCAGAGCAATTATCTTCTCCAAGAAATCCAGCTATGGCCGAGTAGCTTAGCTGGCAATAGTTTTGTCCTGATAGACCAAGGGACACATACAAGAATTAAGCAGTGAGTACATGAATAAGTGGAACAACAAATATATACTTCTCTCTCTCCAAAAATCTAAATAAAAAAAGAATTCCATTAAAGTCTTACTAATAGACAAGGGCAGTAATCCAAAACTGAGTAATTAATGCGTACTGACTTTTAAAATAGGATGTCTTTTTTAAAAAAATACTGCAAATCTAAATTAATTTAAAATAAAATTTATAGTTCCTGATCATGCACCTTTTAATAGCTGGAGAAAGTAATTTGGATGGAGTTGCTCCATAAGGTTACCAACATTTGATGCAGCTAGACTTTTAAAAAAATTGTTATTTTAGTCATTCTGGTGTCCATGCAGTAGTATCTCATTCTGTTTTAATTTCCATTTCTCCATTGGCTAATGAGGCTGAACATTTCAAACTTACTGGACACTTGGATTTCCTTTTTGTGAAGTGTCTGTTCAAGTCCTTTATCCATTCTTTAAAAATTGTATAGTCTTTTTCTTATTTGTGAAAGTTCTTTTGAATATAAGCTTTTGTCATACATACTTATGCACACACATGTATATATCTCAATATCTCAAAATCAAATAATCAAATACCATTTCCTGGTCTGTCTGGCTTGCATTTTTACTGGATAAGCAAAAAGTTCATTAATTGAAACTCAACTTCTCAATCTTTTCTTGATAAAATCACTTTAATGACCAAAAAGCTTGTTCTGTGTTTATTAGTAAATACCCTAGATTGTCAAAGATTTAATATGGACCTCCAAATCTGAAGTTTTCAGTTCGTATTACCTATTATATAATTCCTGCTTAACTGGTATTTTAAGTTATAAAAGCAAAGAACTCTCTCTAATGTTTTAAGACATTTATCACTAAGTTCTTGAGTTGTTTTTTTTCCTGCCTTAAATTAAATTTCCACATAAAAATAACATAACTGAAGCATAAGGTAATTCCTTCTTTTCATTACTGCATAACACAATAGCTGGAATTATGAATGCTAAAAAGCATTCGTAATGATTTGCTAAAAAGCAAATCATTAGGCAATGGGAACATGAGCAGCCTAGTTAGTGTTATGCCAGTCTCAAAACCTCACTTGGCCTCAATATTCAGAAATATACAACAAAAAGGTTGAAAGGTGATTGCTAAGGTTTCTCCAAGTGTAAAATACTGACAATGAGTGATTTAACCTTCAGTTTTGTTATCACACTTAACACTCTTCTTTGATGAGCTCTGAGTGGGTACTTTTCTTATGTATTACACATTGTAAGTCAGGGCTGCCATACAACTGTGCATGCACAGCTACAGGTGAAGTCACTGGCAAACAGCACAACCATATATGGTGGCCAACTAGGTTCACCTTGCATTCCATTTAAGACCAGTTTCAGCCCAAGGTCACTATCACCCACATATCCCTCCACCACCAAAGTAATACAATTCTCAAGTATTTCTGAAGATACTTTAAGGATGTGAAAGCCAATCTTCAGAAAATCTCCTTGATACGGTACTTTTGAAATTATAAACCATATAATTACATCAACATCCTAAAATTAATATCCAAAATTGATTTTTAAGTCCTTTTCAAGCACTTCTTTCTCTCCCAAAACTTTTACTCTAAGTCACTTCTGGTGTTTTGCTTCTCTCAATCCTAAAACCCTTTAAGCTATGTTGTTGCTTTTATCCTTTTTCCATCTTTCCCTGTGGTCTCTGTTGCATTCTTCAATTGGAGCAATTTTGACCTCTTCCTTATCTCCTTTTCTTTTCCACCTATTGTTCTATTCAACAAAACAAAGGCCCAGTAGTTAATTGGACAAAACTTCTTCCTAAAGACTGGGAAGAGAATTATAATTATTTATTATGTGTTCCTTCCAACCCTATATAATAAAAGTTAGGCTATATTTGTAAGTAAGATCAAAGTAATGTTGGTTATTCTTAATATCTGTAAGGGAAGTAATTTGCAGAAAAACCATATAAATTATAAATAAAACTACAGGGATAATTTCTGAATAAAAATTTTGCATATTTAATTTTAATAATAAAAATGAGCACAAAGAACAGATTTCAACTAGCTCTCTTTTAAACTCTGCAGATGGAAAATTTCCTTTCTAGGGACAGGTCTTTAGGTCACACTTTCCTTTCATGTGCAACATTAGACTTCTCTCAGGCCTCTTACACACAGGATCTTTGCCCATTACGGGCATCTAAATGAGGAACATACCTTCTGTGCCAATCTGAAAAGTTCCTTCTAACCTATTTTATAAAACACGTAGCTCTGGAGGTCCTACCTTTCTCCCTACCCCATTTTCTGTCTTGTGTCTGGATTCAATGAAATAGATTTACCTGACAGGCTTTCAGGATTATTAGTTTTTTTAATATCAAAATAACTTAAAATCCTATAATAATGATGAAATGTCCACCCCCAACCAAGATAGGAGACAGCTTACTTGTATTTTTTAAAACCTTCAATTTAAAGGCTATTAAACATTCGACATCTATAAGCAGCAGAAACTAGAACTCTCATTGTACATTAAAACTTAATTTTTTGACCTTCTACAGTTTTTATAGAGGAAAAACTTGAAAATATAGTCACGCATCACTTAATGACAACACCCTGTGAGAAATGCATCATTAGGTGATTTCATCATTCAAACATCAGAGTGTACTCACACAAATTTAGATGGTCCATGGGGTAGCCTATTGCTCCTAGGCTACCAACATGTACAGCATGTTACTGTACTGAATACTGTAGGCAATCATAACACAGTGGTATACTGCCACAGGATTGGCAGTGCAGTGGGTTTATTTACACCAGTATCACCACAAACCAAAGAGTAATGCACTGTGGCACTGTGTTAGGAAAGCTGCACCATCATTACGTGATAGGAGTTTTTCAGTTCCATCATAATCTTATGGGGCCACCGTCATATATGTGGTTCACTGTTGACTGAAATGTCATTATGAAGCACACGGCTGTATTTACAAGTAACAAAAATTATAAGTTACATATTTATAGTATCTCATTATCAGATAAAAATTTTTAACTCATCAGTATTAATTTATTTCAGTTTATAATATATAATGCTTAAAATAAAACTAAACTAAAAACCATTAAAAAACATTCCTCTTTAGCCCTGGCTGGTGTGGCTCAGTGGATTGAGTGCCAGCCTGTGAACCAAAGGGGTGCTGGTTCCATTTCTAGTCAGGGCACAGGCCTGGGTTGTGAGTAAGGTCCCCAGTAGGGGGTTCACAAGAGGGAACCACACACTGGTATTTCTCTCCCTCTTCTTCTCCCTCCCTTCCCCTCTAATAATAAACACATAAAAATCTTAAAAAAGAGAAAAAACAAAGAAAGTTCCCCTTTAATAATTTAGATATTTTTTACTATGCAAATATATAATTTTATATACAAAAATAACTTCTTTCATGAAACAGAGTTCTGAGATAAGTATATATTTTTTCAGTATAAAATGTAGCAAATTTTTCCTAATACAATAAATTACTGTGATTAGTAGCAATTATTTGAAACAAGTCTTATATTCACACCACTATTTTCCAATAATACTGCCTTACTATTGCTAACAATGAACTTGCGCCTGTCAATGGTACCTTTAGAATACCTACCTCTTGTGCAAGATCTCGGGCGTTGGAGATGAGAGGAAATGGAGGACTGGCTTTGTCCATGTGGGCTGTGACAGCGTTGTGTATCCTAACTGCATTCTGGAAATCTTGATTTTGTACAAGTTGTAAAAGCAGTGAAATATCTTCCTGGCTCTGAGAGTCTACCAATGTATGTTGGATATGTTTAAGGGAAGAAAACAAGTCTTCCACTTCTAACAGGAGAAGAAAAAGGTATCAATAAGTTAATTTTCTGTCTTAACTTGGTATTTAAGATAAAATTTCTTGAACTAATAACAATTTACATTTTCATAAAAAACTTGCATTTATATATGTGAGTGTCAAATTACTGTCATTTTACTGATTTTTAAGTAACAGTCTTTAAAAATTATACAATGGGATAGAATAAAAATTTAAAGTGTTTTAAACATAAAACTAATACATAATCATTATAAAAATAAATGAGGGGAATAATACAGAAATGAAAAAAGAAACTTAAAATCACCAATAGTCCCACCAACTAGAAACATTAAATGCCTTACAGCATCTTTTTCATTTGACAGTACATTTTAATTGTTTTCCTAAATCACCAGTCTTTAAAAAACATTAGCTATAATGGCTCTATATTTTATCACATGGCTAAATCATAATTTATTATAACCATTACACTAAAGCTGAGCACTCTAGTTGCTTCCAATGTTTTGCCATTATAAGTAACAATAAGCATTTCAGTACATAATGATCATTGCTACATAAACATGTGGATTCTGGCGTTTTCTTAAAATAATTCCTAGAATTTTAAAATAAGATCCTGCCATTTTAAAAACCAAAGTTTTCCAGGGAGATTTTACTAATTTACATCTTATTAGCAGTATTTTCTCCAAAATTCAACAGCACCATTTAAAAAAATCTTCAATTTCTTTAACAGAGAATTTAAAGTTTATTCAAATTTACCAGGTACTTCTTTTGTGGTCCATTAAACTCTTATGAACATGTTTCCTAAAATTATACTGACAGCTGTGGCATATATATGTATGTGTGTGCGCTCCTGTTAGTGTCCATAAGCAGCACATACATTTTTCTGGGATTTACTTCAAAATGATTAAGAACCAGAGGGTGTCTCTTCCCTGTCCCTCAAAAGGCAGATGTATATGTTTGTGTGTACACTGTCACATTCGTTGGAAATGGTTTTCTGATTTTTCCATTTGTCTGTTAATTGTATTTGCGGTAGCTGTTATTGAGGAAGTTTTCAACTCATATATTTATTAAGAATGATCCCTTCACGCCTTTCCGGTGGTGACAAACTCCCCATGAAAACAGACCTCTCGCTAAGTATCTCCTTCATCGCTCGCCAGAAGAGAAGAGGAAACACAAGAAGCATCGCCTGGTGCAGAGCCCCAGTTCCTACTTTACGGATGTGAAATGCCCAGGATGCTGTAAAATCCCCACTGTCTTTAGCCATGCACAAACAGTAGTTTTGTGTGCTGGCTGTTCCACTGTCTTTTGTCAATCGATAGGAGGAAAAGCAAGGCTCACAGAAGGATGCTCTTTCAGAAGGAAGCAGCACTAAAAGCACCCTGAATCAAGATGAGTGGGGAACAATCCCAACAAACACATTTTGAATTACAAAAAAAAAAGAAAAAGGAATGACCTCTTCACCCAGCGATTAGGCAAAGTAAAAAAGGCTTTTGGATACAGACAACAGTATGGTGATTGCCAAAGGGAAGGGGGTGGGGGTGGGGGGTAGGAGAAGTTTAAGGGGAGATAAAAGGTGATGGAAGACTTGTCTTGGGGTAGTAAACACACAATACAATATACAGGTGATGTATTGTAGAAACTGTATACCTGAAACCTATATAATTTTATTAACCAACGTTATCCCTAATAAATTCAGTAAGACACTAAAATTAAAAAAAAAAAAAAAAGATCCACCTGCCCTGGCTGGGTAGCTCCGTTGGTTAGTGTTGTCCTGATACACCAAGGTTGTGGTTTGATTCCCCCGTCAGGGTACATACAAGAAGCAACCAATGAATGCGTAAGTGAACAACAAAATTGATGTTTCTTTCTAATATCAATACATTTTTTAAAAATTTAAAAAAAGAATAATTTACCTTTTCCTGCATGGTTTCTCTTCACTGTTTCTATGCTTATAAACTCCTTTCTCTAGGTCATTATTTAATTAAATTTTTTGTAGTTTCTTGTGTCTTGTTTCATAATGAACTAGAATTTATCATCACAGCCAGATTTGCTTTTCCTGTCTTTGCCTTTCCCGCTGCAGAGTGTCCATGTTTCTGCCGTCCTTCCGTCCAATCTACCTAGGTCCCTCTCCACCACGACACTCCCTCCCTTGTCCACTCCCACACTGCTCGTGTGCCGATCTTTCCTACTAGCCCTGTGATTCTCCATTTCCCTGGCTCTTCCTCTGTCCATGTGGCTCTTTCTCCTTATGCCTGTTGTATGTGTGTGTGGGAGTGGGAAGGGAGTCTGTTCCCTCTGCATCCTGTTCTGTCTTTGTGGTCTGCCTGTCCTTTGTTACTAGAGAAGAGGGTACATATTTGACAGGACTGATTTAGTTGCATCTGATCCAATTTTTAAAATTCCCTTTGAAATTGCAGAATATTGGAGAACTAGGTGGCTTCTTAAGTAACAGATAACGTAACTGCAGCATCAAAATGAGACATTTCTCTAAGTGTGTAGAAAATTAACTGTTCCTGAACAGTAAGTATTTGTAAAGTGCTTTTAAATATGTACCATATTGGAAGAAAGTTTTTTTAAAACCTTTAACTATATATTCTAACCTCTGAAATGTGGAATTTTTATAAAACTTATATATGAATGAGGATGTCAAAATGAGAATCCTTGAGTTGATATTGTCAATAGTCATTTTTTATTATGGCATCATACTTAATATCAAACAAGAGGTCCTTTGTCAGAATTCCATTCAGAATTTCTGAACAAAGAACTTGAGTAAAGACAGTGAACTCATTTGATCATAATCAGTTTTTTGAGACTAATGCTGTATATAGGTACTTGTTGCTTTCTATGTGACCTTAAAGTTGTTACTGGACAGAGGGGGCATCATTTTTAATATTCTTTAAATTGATAAACTTACTTGTAAATATATACTGATTTCATCTGAGGGTTTGTATTATTTGGTATTTCATATTTTCTCTTAAATATGCATTTGTTTCAGCTGCATATGGTTTAGTCTGTATCTTATAAAATTACACATATCTCATAAAATTTTAAAAACTCTTCTAAGTGTCTGGTAACTTAATATGTTCTGCTTAGTCATTAAACATTTTTAATGAAAAAACACTGGAACTTGAAGAATGAGAGAACTTTGGGCAGCTTTCCAGCCTAAAAATGCTATCTGGAAACTTTCTCAGCTACATTGGTCATGAAAGCAGATATGGAATTTATCTGAAAACTGTCCATGTAAATCATAATCACCAAATTTTGCTACACTACGCTACCCGTGTTAATGCGACGCTGCCAAAGGTGGTTTAGAACATTTCTCAAAAAGATGCATATAGCTTCTACATTCACAGAAATTGCAGTTTTGATTTCTTTTTGCGTAACTTTTTCAATATACGAGGGGCGACCCCCTCCAAAGAAACCCTGAAATTATCTTCCGGAGGGTGGGCCCCTTATAGTTCAGGCCTCCCCTGCTAGGTGAGTGTTCTAGGAATACAGCTCCATCTGGCATTGCTATGAGAGGCTGCAGCAGCTTCAGTGAATTTTTTTGAAGTCTCTTTCAATGTGTTTGCCTATTTCATGATGGGTGATTTACTAGCATACCTGCCCACGTGGCGCTGAGTGTTTAGCAGGTTTTGACCAAAAATGGCATGACCCCCGTGCCCCACTCCCTATTTCACCCAATCTCGCCCCGAGCAACTATTTTGTTTCCCCTTCCCTGGATGAAAAAAATCCTCAAAGAGAAAGGTTTTGCCAATGTGGAAAGGGTAAAACAAAAAAATGGCAGAAGCATTAAAAGGCATCAAAATCAACGAGTTCAAAAGCTGTTTTGAGTGGTGGAACAATGTCTTGACAGGAGCATTGCATCAAATGGAGAGCACTCTGAAGGTGACTGAAATTTCAACATGTAAGAATACAACACAACTTTTAATAAATAAATTCAGTTTTTTGGGGGTCCCTGTTGTACTATCTAGCATACTATTGTAATGTTGGAGGTAAAATACTCTTGAGAAAATATTTAAAGCATAAGAAACTTGCTTAAAATAACACATAAAATGCAACATTATAAATGTAGCAACAATATTATAAAAAGTATATAAAAGAATTAAGGCATGCATTATATGCAGTATATGTGAAAACCAGCACAAACACAGTTAACTAGAGGGAATTTCTCCTACAGATTCATGGTAACATAACTAGAATGTATAAGCTTCTCTAAATACTTGTCAGTGTACATTACTTCCTGTTGTACTGAGTGAAAAGACATCTCGGGACAGCTTTTCTACAACAGAAAAACAACATATCACAATCAACCCTAGAACTGCAACAACAATAACAAAAAGTTTATCTTTTATTATTCCCCAAGTGTGGCAGAAAAAGCACTGCCTTAGAAGCTGTAGAAATGAATTCTTCATCCAGGTGCCATTTTTTAGTATGACATCATTTTCTTCATCTGTAGAGATCTGATCTGAATTATGTCTCGGGTTTTGATGTTTTTGTTTTTATCATTGGGAAAAGTTTTTCAGGATTTTTATAAAGATTATATAAAATAATATATATGCATATAATATGGTATTATCCTATAAAAATCTCTGTAATTCAGGACAAATAGACATTTGTAGTTTTTCAACAATGATTGGTCATACTTAATTGTCAAACTGTGCTCCAGTGCAAGTAATTTTAATTTAGTCTGGCAACACTGATGTAAGTCTGGAGACAACTACTAAGAAAAGATAATTTCAGTGAGTTTTTACTAAGAACAAAAGCGTGAATAGGACTTAATAGAGGTGACTGAAGTTCTACAGGATGATAACTAACAAGTTTAAATTGGTCTTAATACTAATCTAAAAAACTTGAACCTTAAGCCCAGCTAAATTTGTCGGTATTTCTAGCACTGGCATGGAGCTGATGTTCTCCCAGAACCCATTTTTATGTACTGGGTCATCAGCCTTTTTGCGGTTCAGTTGTAGACTTCTGCTTTATAGCATTCCTAGTTCTACAGATCTTATTATCTTAGTCCCTGACCTCCTGAGTAAAAGACATTTTCAGTTTGACCATGAAGGGTTTCTTTTTCTGGATTCTAAACTGTCCTCTAGGTATTTGGTAAGAAACTCTTTTACATTACCATCATCTTCTCTAACATTTCATATAACACTTAAAATCTTGATTACTTATGTTAAAACAGAGGACACAGTATCTAAAGATAAATCACTTATATTTGGCTTTGGGATACAATTGAACTCTCTACTCCCCCTTTGGCCCTCTTCCTGGCAGCCTAAAATGTAAAAGAGGCTAAAATAGGCAACAGAGAGTAATCATTAAGAGTTACTCTATTTGAAAATTCTATCTTCAAACACCCAAGACTCAGAGCAGCTAGTCCGCCATTAAGATTCTTCCATTTTGTTGTTTAAATAATATCAGTTCTTTTAACCTATGCTCAGAAATTTCTAGATTTCAACGAACTTCATGACCTTTTTCTGAAACATTTTAAGATTTCTTCTTTTTCTCTAAACTTTAGAGTCAAACTGAATATTGAAATCAGGAACTGAATATTATTGAGTATGAGAAAATTACATCAGTTTCCAGGATATCTATCTGCTGAATCAAAATTAGAACTTTCATTCTGGAAACCTTTGCTTAAATAGGGGTAGTCTTTTCTTTTTTTTCTTTTTAAGCTTAAGAACCTAAAATTTAGATCTCTGAACTTAGGGTTTTAGTGGACTAAGTCAAAATAAACTTATTAAAAATGAGCAGAAGCTTATGAAAGAGCCTGAACAGTAATTACTCATTAACAAATTGGGTTACAAATTACAAACAAACACAAGTACATATGCAAAAATAGTTGAGTGAGACAGCAGAGCAAAAACCTTACTCCCAAATATGGTAAGAAAATGTAAAACTGTCACTGAAGTGACTACAATTCAATCAAGTATAAAAGCTTCATGATTTTTCTCTGGATGAAACTCAAACGGGCGTGATGTGACAGAAGAAAACCACGCCAAATATGGAGTCAAAATACCTGGCTTGGCCATTTATTTAGTTGCATTATATGTCACTAGACAACTCACTCCAAGTCTCTGAGCTTTTTTACAAAATAAGGGGGTTTGACTAGGATAGAACTTCTTTAACTTTTGTTTGCAAATCATTAAAAAAAATTTTTTATTTCTCAACCCAGGATACACATACCTATTTGAAATAAAAAATTAATGAATAGTTATGTGTAATATACTTTAATATTTCCTATTTTATTCTTGTTCTTAAGAAAATTACTGGTTGATGGGATAGCTAAAATTAAATGACATGTAATAACAGTCATTTAATGAACATATTCATAACAGTACTATTGCCAGTAGCCCAGACATGGAAATTGGAACCCTCACACATTGCTGGTGAGAATATAAATTAGTACAGATACTGTGGAAGATATGACAGTTAAA